GGATGCATTATGTAAAGATACAATTCCCAATGAGAAATGTAATTGTGTTGTATACCTACAATGTACCAATAAAAGAATTTAATACAAAAAAAAAAAAAAGAAAAGAAACCTGATTTAAGGGCTGGTCCATTCAAGGGAGTGTCAGTGGGCCTAAACCACTCCTTAGGTATTTCAAAGGTCAGCACTTAAAACCTGAAATTCCCAGGCAGGCATGGTGGCACATGCCAATAATCCCTGCACCAAGGAGGCTGAGGCAGGAGGATCACCACGAGCTCAAGGGCGGCCTGGGCTACACAGTGAGTTCAAGGCCAGCTTGGACTACACAGACCCTGCCTCAAACGGAAATGTGCAATGCTCTGAACCAGCAAGGCTGTTTCTAATAACCCTAGACAGCTAATGGGACAACGTGTAGGCTAAGCTTCCCACTGCACCATGGGTCTCCTTCCTCTCCGCTTGGATCTGGGTTGGCTCCAGTAACTTGCAGGACCAGTGGAATGTCCGCAGGAGATGACGTGGGACTCCCACATCGAGGTAGCTCGAAGCTCCCTCCAACCTTCCTGGAGTTCTCTTCTGGCTGAGCCCCAGGTTTGATCTCTGCCAGCTAGGGCTGTGCGCTGGGGATGCACAAGTGGGCAGGCTGGGCCTTGGAAGCTGCTGCACGTGGTCCTCTAGGCTCCCTGGCAATCCTGCCTCATGGGACAGAAGAACCATACACTCAACTCCTGCTGAAATCCCTGCTTCAGAAAACTGTGGGATAGAATACAGTCCTTTTAAACCTTGAAGTTTCCAGCAACAGTTACCTGGAGTGGGCAGATCCAGCCAGCCATGCACATAAACAAAGTGTTCACAGCAGCATTATTTATGTGAGTGAAAAACTGGAGGGGTTAGGGTAGCTCAGTGGTACAGCACTTGCTTAGCATATGTGAAGCCCACTATTCAATGCCCAGGACCTCAAATAAGGAAACAAAACTCTGGACTGAGAATTCCTGGGAAAACGGCTCCACACTGTATAACCATCTCTGAAGGTGATCACAGTAGTGCAAGCCTATAATCCTTGCTACTCATAAGGCTGAAGCAGGAGGATCACAAGTCTGAGCTTGGGCAACTCGGCAGACTCTGTTTCCAAATAAAAAAATAAAAAGAGCCGAGGACGTAGCTCAGTGGTAGAGTGCCATTGGGTTCAGGGCCCGGTACAAAACAAGGAAAAAATGTAAGGAGTAGAAAAATGGGCAGGTGAACCCGACAATCAGAAAGTGAACCCAATTGAAAAATGGACAAAAATCTGAAATTGCAGACATCTCACCAAAGAAGATATTCAGATGCTAAACAAACATGTGAAAAGGCGCTCACACTCAAAGTGTCAGTTAGGCAACTGCAAATCAAAACAGCAATGAGATCCTGTCTGTCAACTTGAATGGCCAAAACCCAGAACTCTAACCAGCAGATGCTGGGAAGAAACTCTCCTTCCCTGCTGGTGGGACACAAAAGCTCTTGATGTTCTAAACAAAGAGCTGAGCAGGACACCCAGAGTGGCAGCAAGAGCAAAGATCTATTGGGAAGAAAAAAGAAAAGATGCTCCTGGGGTGGGAGTGAGCAGCGGGAAGGGCTGAGTCACCTGGTTACCTTTTCCCATCGTGTCTGGCCCTGGCCCAGACCACTGTGGAACTCAGAAGGTGGATGTACCTTGTTTCCCAGCCTTTTCCTTAGCTACCTCCAGCTCAGTATGGCACCTGGGAGGACAGCTGGGCAGCTCCCCACAAAACTGTGCACTCTTACCATATGGCCGGCGTTTACCCAGATGTGCTGAAAACCACATCCACAGGAAAACCTGCACACAAATGATGACAGCAGCTCTATTCACAGTTGTCAATAATTGGAAGTAACCAAGACGTCCCTCAATAGGTGAATGGATGAGTATATCATACATTGGAGTCATTTTCAGATTTAAAGGAAATGAGATATCAAGTCACAAAGAGAAGAAACTTAAAATGCATGCTGGTAAGTGAAAGAAACCAGTCTGAAAGACTACTGTCTTAGTTCCTTTTCTCTCTCTTTCATTGCTGAGACAAAATACCCAACACCCAAAGTTAAGGGAGAAAAGGTTTATTTGGCTCACTGTTTGCTGAGGTTTCAGTCCATAATCAGCTGGCTCCAAGGCAGAGTGGCTCATGGCAGAGGGGCGTCAGAGAGGAGAACAGTTCATGGCACCTACAAGGTAGCAAAGCAACAAGGGAACCTTAACAGCATCTTTCTGCCCCTTTACCTTATCCAGACTACTGGATCAGGTGGTGCCAAACCAAGCAGTGGGCTGGTTTAGTAATCACACGCCCTTAATCCCAGCAGCACACACTCTAGACTGAGCCACCCCTGAAAAAGCCACCTACGAGTCTGTGAGGCTTTCGGGGGGCATCTAGACCCAAACTGTAATGATTACATACAGCATGACTCCAGTGACATGACATTCTGGGGAAAAAAGCAGAACTATAGAGACAGTAAAATGATCAGTGTTTGCCGGGGTTTGGCAGGGAGGGAGGGATGGAGAGGTGAAGCAAAGGAGAGTTTTAGGGTAGTCAAACTATTCTATATGATGCTATAATGAGCCTGGTGTGGTAGCCCACTCCTGTAATCCCAGCATGCAGGAGGCTGAGGCAGGAGGATCTTGGTGAGTTCAAGGCCAGCCTGAACTACATAATGAGACCCTGTCTCAAAAGGAAACAAAAACCAAACCAAAAAAGATGCTGTAATACGGAGCACTTGATATGCATTAAGACCCAAGTAACAAACACACCACACAGAAATGAACCCTAAGGTAAACTAAAGCCTTTGATAACAATGTATCAGTATTATTTCACCAATTGTGATGTTACCACTGGAATGTAAATTATTTTAAAAATTCTTTTGCTGCACTGGAGGCACACCCAGGGCCTCTGGCATGCTAGGCAAGACCTCCACCACTAAGCTACATACTCAGCTCTCCTTATGCAGGATCTCACTGAATTGTTCAGGCTGGCCTTCAACTTGTGACCTTCCTGTCTCAGCCCCCCTTGTAGCTGGGATTACAGGTGTGCACCACCAGGCCCAACACAAATTTGTGTGATAGAGAAAATTTGTGTGTGTGTGCATGTGTAGGGATGGCAAGGATAGTCTGTGCTCAGACTGCTTGAAAAAAATTTTATTAATAAATAGTAGCCACTTAAAACAAAAAACAGCCAGTGTGCAGTCCTGTCTTTGCTTTTTCTTTTTCTTTTTTTTTTTTTGGTACCTGGGATCTAACTTGGGTCTTTGCACTTGGGCAGCAGGCGGCGAAACCACTGAGCTAAATCCCTGGCCCTGTCTTTGCTTTTTCACTAGGCATGAGGTGGGTCCAGGAATGTTCTCAAACTGCTAACTCTTAAACATAAAAGTCAACAAGACTAATGGTCTCAGGCTGGGGATTTAGCTCAGTGGTTCCACCGCCTGCCACGCAAGCAGAAGGACCTGAGTTCAAACCGCCGTACCAAAAAAAAAAACAAAACTAACGAGCTTGCATCCCGGGAGGGGAAAAAACTTTAAAAATTTTTTTTTTCCTTTTTGAGACAGGGTCTCACTGTGTAGTTCAGGCTAGCCTTGAACTCACTATGTAGCCCAGGCTGGCTTCAAACTCCCAGTGATCCTCCTGCCTCAGCCTCCTGAGTGCTGGGATCACAAGTGTGTGCCACCATGCTTAGCTTTAAATTTCTATATATATGTATATTTTTTGGTACCAGGGATTGAACTTGGGACCTTGTGCTTGTGAGGCAGGCGGTGGAACCACTGAGCTAAATCCCGGACAAGTTTCTATATGTTTTATTGTCAAGAACAATAAAATCAGTCAGTGGTGGTGCAGGTCTGTGATTCCAGCTCTCTGGGAGGCTGAGGCAGGAATATCTCAAGTTAGAGCCCAGCCTGGGTAACTTAGCAAGGCCATGTCTCAAAAAAAAAAGGGCTGGGAGGTAGCGCAGTGCAAAGGCTCTGAGTTCCATCCCCAGTACTGCAACAAACAAAAGACAACGAACAATACTTTTCAGTATTTGATTGAGGTTTGGGAGGAGGGGTCAATGCCAGGGAAAATAAAATGCACTTTATTGCATTTTATTTTCGATTGGGGATCAAACCCAGGGCTTCACTGTACTACTGAACCTCACTCCCAGGCCCCCCCCCCTTTTGGTACTGGGGATCGAACTCAGGTTCCTGTGCTTGCGCAGCAGGCGGCGGAACCACTAAGCTAAATCCCCGGCCCTCCCAGCCCCTTTTAAAATGCACTTTTTTTTTCTTGCCGTGGTGGGGATCGAAAAAAATGCATTTGCATCACCGAAGTCCTGCTTCTTTGGACAGGTTATGCACCCTGAACGCCAGAGGGCGAGGATGTGGGTGGCATGTGGGCTCTGCTACCCTGGCTCCTTCCATATAGGGGGAGCAGGTGCTCGTAGGACATCCTGTAACCCGTAGCACACGCGGTCACCGGGAAGAGGCACGGCCGCAAGCCAGCACGCGGCCCCGGCACCCGCCCAGGAGGCCCTCCAGAGACTCCTCAGTTCCAGCACGAGTCTGGCGTGCGAAGTGACAGGACTATGGCTGCGATGATCGCGAGAGGCTCTAGGCAGACGGAACGCTCACCCTCGTGTGAACACCCCTCCCGGGTGGGTTTGCAGGCGTGTTAGCGTGCACTTCTGTGCAGCTGGTGCACGGAGCTGCAGAGCGCAAGGCGTGGGCGCCCCCTCGCGGGCGACCGCGACAAATCAGCGTCCTAGAGGGGCTTCGACGCCCTGTCGGGGTCTGGGGACGAGCCTGCGGCGCGCCCTGGCCTGGCTGACACCTACCGGGCTCGCGTGGAGAAGCGGGCGCCGGGATACGTGCAGGTGCTGGGCCGTAGGCCGAGCACCGGAACAGCACCACGGCCTTAACGCGCTCCAGGAACTCTCTGCCCCGCCTCGAGCCCACCGGAAGTGAGGGGGCGGCTCAGCCTCGCCCCGCCCCCGCGTCTGGCCAATCGGCGCACGCGGCTCATGAATAGTGAGCCCCGCCCTGCCCCGCCCTCCGCGGCGCCGCCCGCGCTCACAGACCCCGAGTGGAGTGCGGCCGGCGAAGATGGCGACTGCCATGTACTTGGAGCACTACCTAGACAGTAAGCGCCGCGCCGCGCTGCCGCCAGCCCCCGCCCGCTCCGCCGCCGCCCCCGCGCGCCACAGCCCACGAGTGGGCCCCAGGGCCCGGCGGTGGGGAGGCGGGAGCGCCGGTGCGCGCCCGGGCGGGGGCTGGCCACAGGGAGGGGCGGACGCGGGGGGCGCGGCGCGGGGTCCGGCCGCCTCGGTCGCGCCAATTCCAGGTGCGTCACGGCAGGGCGGGGCTTACGGGTGTCCCGCCCTATGGCTCCGCCCCCGCCCCGGCTGTGGGCTGGACGTGCACCTGTACGCGGGCGGCCTGGATCCTCCTGCGCTGGGTGCTCTGGCGGTGCTGGGACGTCTAGTAAGGCGGGCTGGCGCCTCGCTCTGTGTATCGGGAGCCAGACTAGGGCCCCCAGATATCTGGGGGGTTATTTCCCACTCTGTGCAGAGGGGAAATGAGGAACTCGGGGTCCCCCCAGGGACATCCAGCTCTGTCTGCTCTTCTGCGTTGCAGTCTTGGACAGGTCTGAGCAGTGGGCGCCCCAGGTTAGGAAGTGCTAAGGGAGACCCTTAGGTGTCCTGGTGCCCACTCGATGGACCTCCTAGGGGGGTTCCGGATGAGCTAGCTGCTCCCTGGCGGCCCAGCAGTTCCCAAGCGCTGAGCACCTGCTGTGTGCCTTGTTAGGCAGGAGCCTCGTGTCCCTGCAGCTCGCTGTCAGGTGGAGTACAGGGCTTTTTTCAAGTTTATAGAAAAGCAAGGGCCGAGAATGATTGCATAGTTGAGAGTGCCAGGCGATGCAGGGTACAGAGGTCCAGCGGTGGGCAGAGGGCTGGTGAGCCAAGGCCGGGCAGGGGTCTGCAGGCCCACTAGGACTGCTGAGGAAGCCACTGCGCTTGAAGCAGCAGGTTTGTAAGATTAGATCGGGACTGTGGAGAGCAGATGAGGCTGGCAGGACCAGAGTGGGGAGCCTGCTTTTCAGTCAAGAAGCAGCATGGGTGGCTCTCCACTCTCTATCCTGCAGGGTCACCCCTAACCACAGGGGCTATTTAAATAAAGTTAAAAATTAAGTTCCACCAAGTGTGGTGGTGCACACTTGTCATCCTAGCACTCTGGGAGGCTGAGCAGGAGGATAGCAAGCCTGAGCCCAGCTTGGACAACTTAGTGACTTAGCAAGACTCTGTCTTAATAAAAAGTAAAAAGAGTTGTAGCTCACTGTAGAGGCCCGAGATTCAATCCCCAATACTTAAGAAAAGAGGAAGAGGAGGAGGAAGGAGAAAATGAGCTCCTCAGTTGTATTGGTTACATCTTCAGGTCAGCTTCTTGTGTGTCCAGGGTAGTGCAGAGAATGCACCCACACTTACACCAAGTGCTCTGGGGTAGCGTCGGCCTCAGGGCAAAGTAGGGCAGGTCAGGGAGGGCCTTGAGCCTCAGAAACACAGTTTCCTGAGGTTGTGACCTAAAGAAGTGGGGGCCTAGGGCAGGAGTTGTGGCTGTCTCCCCTTCTGCTGGCGTCCTGGCCATGTGCCCCTTGAACTTCTGAGGCTTCTGGCCACACCTGAAGCATGAGGGCTGGCTGTTGGCACTGTTCCATACCAGGCCCTGAAAAGAGGTCTTAATTCAGACTGTTCCCCAGGCCTGCACAGAACTAGAAGATAATGTTCGGTACCATAGACTTTAGGAATGAGGCCTTGGGTGCAGATTTGTTCCTGCTCCTGAGAGAAACAGGGCTTCCGTGTCTGTTTCAGGCATCGAGAATCTTCCCTGCGAACTTCAGCGGAACTTCCAGCTGATGCGGGAGCTGGACCAGAGGACAGAAGGTGGGTTCTGCCAGGCCAGCAGTTCTCAAGGCCAGGGGGTCTGCAGGGGATGTTTGCTTGGCAGAGGGTCTGGAGGGGACCTGGTGTAGCAGGGCCAGTGCCCACAAGGCGCAAGTCTTGTAGACTCAGGTGTGATTTCTTGGGGTTATTTTTTTGTGTGTGTGTGGTACTGGGGATCGAACTCAGGACCTTGTGCTTGTGAGGAAGGCGAGGCGCCGCTGAGCTAAATCCTCAGGCCAGTTTCATGGATTCTTGAACATCACGTTACTGACATAACAGCTTTTTTTTTTTAAAGCAAAAGTTTTATTGGTACATTTTAAATGTATATAATGATAATGTCCATCACAGGGAGTTTGTACCTGTACACGATATATCTTGGTTTTTACCCCCTATTTTCCCTCTTCCCCTCCTTATTTACAGAAGCTTTGTTTCCATGTTTTTCTTCTATTCTCTTATTTTTCCTTTCCCTTCTTTCCTTTCCTCCTCCTTCCTCCCCTGTTCCCCTTCTCATTTAAACATCTTCCTATTTCCCAGTATCTATTACACATTTTGGTCCTTGTTTCCACTTTTGGTTTCTCACACCAGAGAAACACATCACAGCTTCTTAGCTATTGCCTTTTAGCCAAATATTTGTTGTCTTTCTCTTTCCTTTGAAAAATTTCCTATTTGCAAACTGTGCGTGTGGGTTTGGTACCCCTTATCCAAAATGCTTTGGACCACAGTTGTTTCAGATTTCTGATGTTTTCGAATTTGGGAATATTTGCATATACATAAACAGTTATCTTGGGGCTAGGACCCAGGTCTAAACACCATTTATATTCTGTGTGCACCTCATGTACTGGCCTTAAGGTAATTGGGTACAATACTGCCAGTGATTGTGTGGGTGAAACAGAGTCTGCATACTCTGAGGCCTGTAAGTGAGGCCCATCCTGTGTAGTCATGCACTTGGGGCACAGAAAGGCTCAGGCTTGGGAGTGTTTTGGATTTTCAGATTATGAGGGTCATCCTGTAGTTTAAAAAGTTAGACAGTACTTTTTGACCTCTTGGTCCTTAACTCTATTTCTAAACATGTTTTTGTTGTTCTTTCTTATTTCTAGTCAGGTGGGCATGGTGGTGCGTGCCTGTGTTCCCAGCTGCTCAGGAGGCTGAGGCAAGAGGGTAACAAGTTTGAGGCAGCCTGGGCAACTCAGTGAGACCCTGTCGCAAAATAAAATAAAAAGGGGTGGGAATGTAGCTCAGCTTTCCCTGAGTTCAGTACCCAGTTCTACAATAAACAAACAGAAAATGCACTGCCAGTTGGTTTCAGATTCTATTTAATTAGATAAGTGAATTTGTGGCCGTGAGGACAGCCCTCTGTTTGCCGCCCCTTCCCCACCCCAGCCTGTGATCTTCTAGAATTTGTGGTGAGGCCAGTCAGGGTTGGTCCCAGGCAGCAGGGTGGGTGACGCCATGTGCTTTTCTTTTTTGGTACCAGGGATGGAACTCGGGTTCTTGTGCTTGCAGGGCAGGCGGCGGAACCCTGAGCTAAATCCCCGGCCCATCTGTGCTTTTCTTAATAACCGTGTTTCTCTTGGGGTTGTTGGTGGACCCGTTTGTCCAGGTGGCTTCCCACGCTTGCCCTCTTGCCTTTGCCAAGAGCTCCTCAGTGCCATCTGCTCACCAGGGTGCCTGTGCGTTCATGTGGGTTCCTGGATGTCTTCCTGGTGTCTCAGGTTGCTGTGCAGGTGGCTTCCTGGGATTCTCCCCAGATCTCCCTGAATGTCCTGCTTTGGTTTGCTCCTTTGTTTTCGTAGCTTTCTGAATGCCGGTATCTGAAAAGATAAATTTGTAGTGATACATTTTGCCCATCTGAAAATCTGTCCAGCCTGCTGTTTGAGCAATGGTTCAGTTGGGTACGGAAGTACGTGTGGATGAGGCTCCTCTCTGTGGATGGCACTGCTGGGCTCACCTCTAACTTCCCTGCTGTTCTTGGGAAGTCTGATACCAGTGGATTCTTGATCTTTTGTATAAGAGATCCTTTTTTTCCTGTCCTTCTTCTTTTCCCTGAGGTTTTGAGTTCATGATGATATGATTTCCTGTAGGACACTTCTTGTGCATCATGCTGGGCCTGTGTATGCCGGTGAAGCTCTGTGGCTCTGTGTAGGTGCAGCATCTTGGGAACAGGGCCGCCTGTTTGAAATGGGGTAAGCATCATAAACGTTGCAGAGCCATGGGAGGCCTACAGATGGGCTAGCAGATATCACCAGGCAGACCTCTGTTCCTCTCCCTAGGTGGAGAGCTGGTGCTGTGTGCCTTCTGTGTCATGTCCCTGAAGCCTGCTGCCCTGAGGTGCTGATGGCCCTTCCTACTTGTGACCTTAGATGCCCACTCGCAGCAAGACCTATTTTTTTTGTACCAGGGATCGAACTCACATGCTTGCTTCCTGGTCTTACAGGGGACTGGACATTGGGTTGCCCACTGTTTTCTGCGGTCTTGAGTGTTTTTCCATGTGTTTCCAGGTCCCCAAGTGCCAGTTGTCTTTGGGGTATGAGTGTGAGAGAGGCACACCAGGTCCTAGCAGCCTGACCCCACGATTTAGTGTCCAGACCGTGCTGGAGAGTCATGGGGCACAGTGCCTACACTGGGCCTGTTCTGTGCACGTGCCTCTGGTGACAGCAGCTGCCCGGCTCTGTGCCCGTCCACCTCTGCAGAGTTGGCTGCCACCCCAGTAAGATGTGGTGTGTCTTGTGTGGAGGCCAGCTTCTCACCTGTGTGTCTGCCAGATAAGAAAGCGGAGATCGACCTGCTGGCGGCGGAGTACATTTCCACTGTGAAGACTCTGTCCCCGGATCAGCGTGTGGAGCACCTGCAGAAGATCCAGAGCGCCTACACCAAGTGCAAGGAGTACAGTGACGACAAGGTGCAGCTGGCCATGCAGACCTATGAGATGGTGAGGGCAGTGCGGGGTGGGGCACTGGGATGGTGTCGGGGCAGGAGTGGCTACCGGGAGGGCTGCTAGGGGCATCCGGGTTGGGGTTCGCTTACCCGGGACCAGGCCTGTGATGTGAACATCTGGGCCCCTTTTGTTTGGTTGGGGAACCATTGTGTTTTGATTTGTGTTTTTGCTTTCTGTCCTGCAGTGCTGGGGACCCACGCTAGGCGAGCACTTCACCCCTGAGCTATACCCCAGCCCTGAGCCTTTGCTTTGTTGTGTTATTCAGCATTTTGTTTCTGTCGGCTATAGATAAAGTCCTAGAATTGGTCACTTAGGTTTACCCAGTGGATCAGGCCGTTGCCTTGTGCTGTCCCTGAGATCGTGTGGCTCCCGAGAAGGAGAAGCATTGCCCCTGTGCTTTTGGTGCCCTGCCATGGCCCATGCTGCGGCCCTTCTGAAGGAGCAGACTGCCTTGTTCGCGGGCTGATCTCCCCAGGCCTCATGAACTTTGGGCTCAGAGATTACTTCAGACCCAGAGAGGCACTGATCCTCCTGCAGACTGGCTTTGTGGTCTGGTTAGCTGCGAGGACCTTGATGCCAGCCAGGGCTGTGTGCGCTGAGGTCCGTGAGGCTCCTGGATGGGTTGCTCATCTTGTCGTCTGACCACACTGTCTTGTGTTTTTTTCTTCCAGAGGCCCATGGGGGTGTTATTTGTGTTTTTCATTTTTAGTCTTGTATTTAGGAGATTCCATGTTCTTCAGAGTTTAGATTAGGACCTACGATCAATTGTCTCCACCCCTTATTCTAATGCATTTCGCAGCTCTGTTTCTTGTCACTTCCTGGATTGTACTTTTTCCTAAGTAGGACTCCCTCTGTGGAGTGCTCGGGGTGGTCTGGGGAGAACGCATGAGAGGGCAGCAGGTGCCTTGCAGGAGCTCCTCAGTGTGGCACAGGTTCCAGAGGGGCTTCGCATGTCCTGTGACGTCACCTGCGAGTGTCCCTCCGCAGGTGGATAAGCACATCCGGAGGCTTGATGCGGACCTAGCTCGCTTTGAGGCGGACCTGAAGGACAAGATGGACGGCAGTGACTTTGAAAGCTCCGGAGGCCGGGGGTTGAAAAGCAAGTCTGCCGATGTTTCCTTTGTTTTACTGCCATTAACTATGGGATTTTGCGGAATTTTGTCTAATAAGTGTATCAGGGACTGGAGGTAAATACCATGTCTGAGTGATCTGTCCTGTTTCAGTGAGTCCTGTGGAAATAACGTGCATTGTTACTGTTTCCCAGAAGGTCGGGGTCAGAAAGAGAAGAGAGGCTCCCGTGGCCGAGGCCGGAGGACATCAGAAGAAGACACCCCAAAGAAGAAGAAGCATAAAGGAGGGTAAGGCGCTCACCACTCCTGGGAAGTGCGCTGGGCACCCTGTGTGTGGGTGTGGCCTGTCTGTCCTTAGGGTGGCCGGTGGCTGCTAGTGTCCCCAAGAGTGGAAGCCCTTGGTGACAGGAGGATGTGCCAGTGCCGCTGGCCATGCCCACGTGCTGAGTTTGTGTTCATCTGTTGGCCTCATTTTTTATTTGTTGGTTTTGGTTTTTTGAGGTAGAGTCTTGCTATGCACCCTTGAGCTCACTATGGAGCTCAGGCTTGAACTCATAGTGATCCTTCTGCCTCAGCCTCTCAAGTGCTAGGATCACACCCAGCTTATTTGTTGGCTGTTTTATCCTTAAATTCAATCCTAATTTCAGTTTTGCTTCTATTCACTATTAACTTGTAAGGCATTTGTTAAGCATACAGGTCACCTGTCTTGAATTTAGAGATATTTTATTTCATGTGTTCTCCCGCTGCCCTCCCCAGGGTTGTGTGGCTCTGCGTAATGAAGCAACTTTTAGACTGAAGAGGATGTGGTGCCTGCCAGGAACCTGCGCTAGGGCCTGACAGGGGAGGTCAGAGAGCTCCTTCTTCTTGACAGAAGCACAGAAGACAGGGAGGAGTCTTGGTCCTTAACCTGGTGTTTACTTTTTGTTTGTTCATGGTGCAAGGTGTGGAAACCAGGGCCTCTATGCCATGCACATGCTGGGTCCCCAGCCAAAATGTTCATCTGTTTGTTTTTGGGTTTTTTTTGGTACCGGGGATCGAACTCAGGACCTTGCGCTTGTGAGACAGCCGCAGTACCACTGAGCTAAATCCCCGGCCCTAACCTTTCATCATGTTTTATTGCTTATTTTTTTGTGGTGCTGGGGATCAAGGCCTTGCACATGGCAGCAGTGCTCCACCACTGAGCTCCATCCCTGTGCCCACTGAATCCCTCAGATGGACGTTATTAAGAGGAGTTAACGTTCAGGGAAGTGTTCTAAGTTTCAGTGTTACTTCCGTGCTGCATCTAGTTTCTTTTAGTTCTGAAAGGTTTCAGGCCCTCCTTCCTTCCCTCCTTCCCTACTTTTCCTTCTTTCTTTTTCTCCTTCTTTTGTGGTATTGGGGATTAAACCCAGGGGCTTGTGCATGCTGGGTAAGTGCTCCACTACTCAGCTATATCCCCAGCTTTTACTTTAATGTATTTCTGTTTTGTTTTTCTTTTTGAGACAGAGTCTCACTATGTGGTTCAGTCTGGCCTTGAACTCACTATTTAGTCCAGGCTGGCCTCACACTCACAGCAGTGCTCCTGGTTCAGCCTCCTGCCTGCCTTAGCCTCCCAAATGCTGGGATTACAGGTGTATGCTACCACACACAGCATCTTATTTTATTTTTTATTTTGAGGATCTAAGTATGTTGCCTAGGCTAACCCTGAACTAACAATCCTCCTGCCTCAGCCTCCTCAGTGGCAGGGATTGTAGGCATTCACCACCAGACCTACCTGGATTTTAATTTTATTCCATTTAAAATATTTAAAAATTGTCATTGTGGGGGCCGGGGATTTAACTTAGTGGTGCCGCCGCGTGCCTCGCAAGCGCAAGGTCCTGAGTTCGATCCCCAGTAACAAAAAAATTTTTCATTGTGATTTTCCTTTATGTAAAGTTTGTGTGCAAGTATGTGTCTTGATTTCCAAATAATTTGGGATTTCCAGATAGCTTTTTTTTTTTTTAGTCCTGGGGATTGAATCCAGGGCGCACTGAGCTACATTCCCTGGTTTTTATAAATTCTATTTTGAGACAGGGCCTCACTAAATTGCCCAGGCTAGGCTCAAACTTGCACCCCTCCTGCCTCAGCCTTCCCAGCACTGGGATTATGGGTGCCCTCTGAGTGCATGGGGCTGCCCACCTGGCCCATGGTTTGATGTATGGCTGCATGGCGGTGGCTGCAGTGTGGTGGCTACAGGTGTGGAGTGTGGCCCGTGGATGGAATTCCAGACAGGCTGTGGCTCGACACCCACATGTCCACTGGGGCTAGAGGGACAGCAAGGGCGATGTGTGCTGGTGGTGGCCCCTGCTGGCAGTGGGCAGCTGGGTGGTGACAGGCTCCTGAGACTTAAGGAGCTGCCAGGGTCTGTGGCTTTGGGGTACACGTGCCTGTGGGGGCTCGTGGGGACCTGGGCGCAGGACGCCTGGCCTCAGGAAAGAGGGCTCATGGGTTAGGTGGGCGGCGGGAGCAGGCAGGTTCCCTGGGGTCCGCTGGCAGCCGAAAGAGTGCTTCCCCACAGGCAGGGGCGGGAGCTGCGGTGCCAGAGCAGAGCAGCAGCAGCCCTTGCCCAGGGCGCCCTGTGGGTGCCTCGAATAGGAGTGGCCGTGTTGTGTGGTGAGTGCCCCCGCCAGCACTCAGGGGTGCCACTGTGGCTGCACTGTGTCCGGGGCTGTTGCTATCTGGGACATCTCTTCAGCTGACGGTCGCGCGTGGCCCGCAGCTGTCAGTGTCTGGTCGCAGGTGTGGGGCTGCAGTTGCAAGTGCACTGTGGTAGCAGACCCTGGGAGCTGGCCTGGTGAGGAGGCCGGAGTGAGCTCGGGAATGGCAAGTGGTGGTGAGCCCGTGGCGGTGTTGACCGTGTGGTCTGCAGGGACGAGGCCGGTGCTGCTCCCACTGCGTGTGACGTCTTCGCTGCCTCCATAGGTCCGAGTTCACCGACACCATCCTGTCCGTGCACCCCTCTGACGTGCTCGACATGCCCGTGGACCCCAACGAGCCCACGTACTGCCTGTGCCACCAGGTGTCCTACGGGGAGATGATTGGCTGCGACAATCCCGATGTGAGTCTGGCTCCTGTGAGCGAGGTGCAGGTCCCGGTGTAGGCTGGGGCAGGCTTAGGGTGTGTGTGTCCCGCCCTCCTCACATCTGACCTCCCTGTCCCTTGCTTTGCAGTGTCCGATCGAGTGGTTTCACTTTGCCTGTGTGGATCTCACCACGAAACCCAAAGGAAAGTGGTCAGTATGGGGGCGCTGCAGGGCACCTCTGCCTGGTCCCACAGAGGAGGCTCCTCCTGGCTGGGCAGGGGGCTGGTCTGTGGCTGTGGGTGTGGCTGGGTACCCAGTGTCACTGCAGCAGGGGCCCTGCCCACTTGCCCAGGCACAGTTACCATCTGTACTTGTGCCCATCAGCCCTGAAGAGCAGCTGTGGTGGCCCTGCAGTGAGGAAAAGGTCACTTTAAATGAGGATGAGGAGTGTGGGTTCTTGTGCCAGGCAAGGGCAGGGAGCAGGTGGAGAGCACCAGTCTGCACATGGGTCCCTGTGCAAGGTGCCCTGCCCGAGAAGTGGTGCGAGGGCTCGCACACTGTCCCAGCCTGGCCTGCAGAGGGCAGTGGCACCTGGTGAGGGTGTTCCTGAGTTTTCATGGCGCAAGCTTGGAAGTGGGCACATGTTCTGAAAGGCAGCTGCCGGAATGCTGCCCTCCTCACGGGAAGCACCTCTGGCTCGTTGAGGCCATGTGCCTGCTTGCTGTGCAAACGTCGGCCCTCTCCAAGACCCACGTGTAGTTGGTGCGAGCGAGTTTCCTCTGGTGTTTGGTGCGAGGACCACAGAGGGAAAGTCGGGGTGGATACTGCGTTGCAGCAGGCTACTGGCCTGTGATGGTGATGCGAGCTCTCTGGTGGAGGCACAGGCGACCGTGCAGCACCTCAGCCTGTGTGTGCAGCGACGCTGGAGTCTCCCAAGAGGAGAGGCGGAGCTGCCGCCCTCCATGCTGGAAACCGCAGGATAGCAGGCGGCGGGTGCAGCAGAGTAGGGACGCAGTGGTTTCTCTGGTCTCGTTTTTTTTTGTTTGTGGTGCTGAGGATGGAACCCAGGGCCGAGTGCTATGCAGGCTGTGCCCCAAGAGGTACCCCAGCCCTCAGGTGACCTTTTTTTCTGGTGGCCTTTTATAAACCACTGCAAGTGGGCTGCTCCCTCAGCACTGAGACAGGAACTGCTCACCGACACATCTGCCCACAGGCCTGTGCCACGTGTCCCCCACACTTGAAGCCTTGCCGTACAGAGGTCCCTGGAGGTGATGTTAGTGAGCTTACCCTGCACAGGAAATGCACTAGTTCTCATGTTGTCCCCATGTGTCATGGGCAGCCCCAGAGCTTGCTCCATCCAGAGTACCAGAGGCCTTTGTGAGTTGTGTGGGTCACAGGGCCCAGCCCAGCTGAGGCAGGGGCCAGGGCTCAAGGCTCTCAGCACATCCAGCTCGACTGGGTGTATCTCCACAGTGGCATGGTAACCCTGTGCCCTGTTAGCCAGGGAGGACCAGCCCAACCCCCTTGATCTCGAGGACGTTGCTGAAGTGAGTCCATCACCTTCAGGACATGCATTGGCCAGTAGCTTGCAGGGCAGCTTTTCCAGGTGGGATGGCCATGCCCACTGTGCTAGCATCTGTCCTCTGGCCCTGTCTCTCCAGAGTCCACCTGCCTTGGACCAAGTGGTGGAGCCTGGTGGCCGCACTGGCAAGAGGGACACAGAGGCTGACCCCTGTGCCTTTCTCCCCAGGTTCTGCCCACGATGTGTTCAGGAGAAGAGGAAGAAGAAGTAAGGAAGAGGCTGTGTGCCCGGATCGAAGAGCAAGTTATTGTATTCCTTATTCATACTGCAATATTTTCTTTCGATTTTAAAACTACCTTATTTTGACTGATATTTAAGAACTTAGTGGCCAGTTGTCATTTTGGATATTTCCTAAAACAAACCACTGCCCTCTGGGCACTTGTGAACTTGGGCTGCCAGGCACCATGCACGCTCTGAGCTGGTGCACTACCACCACTCTGCCACCGGAGTGTCCCCTGCAGTTCTCTGAGACCATGCTCAGACCTCTGTGAGCACACCTGTCACTCCTGAGCTGACCTGACCATGAGACTGGGGCCTTGAGGCCGCTGCTGCCGTCCTGGCCAGGCTGGCTCTCCTGGGAGGAGGTGGCCTGCCCCGCTGTGCACTGCCTCTGTAGTGTGGACTCTGGCCCTCTGGGCTTCGCCTGAGTAAGCACTCCTGTTGGCCCAGGCTGTCGTTTACCATGACCAGCACCATCACGCGGAGGCCTGGCAGCCGGCTGATGTTCCTTCCGTTCTGCTGGGAATCCCTGCTGTTTTTACTGTGAAGATGAAATTAGTATCACTGCATGAAGATCATGGGTCTGTGTGTCTGTGTTGTGAGTCTGTCTCCTGTGGGCTGACTGTAGAACTCGTGCTGCCTACTGCCAGGCCTACAGCTCGCCCCGAAGGGCTGGCAGTCGTGTGGCTGTATAGTGACTGCTGTGCTCGGAAGTGATTCTGGACTGGAGCGAGAAATGGAGTGTACTCCTCATTTGGCTACTGTTTGCCAAGCCAATGTTGAGCTGTCTCTGTGGTGGAGTTGGGGAACACGCACACGTCTGATCCGACGAGGGGTGTGACGGTCCCTCCACTGTGACCTCTGAGGCCCCCAGACCCCAAGATCCTCTTGCACACTCTTCCCCTGGGGTGGCGGAGAACCCACGGAAGTGCTCCATGCTCACCAGAGCCATGTACTTGTGTCCTGTGAGGGCTGCCTGTCTGATGTCCCTCCCTCACTTTCTGGTGTTCCGCCGAAGACAGGAGATAGCAAGAAGGTACTGGTGCAGGGCCCCTGCACTGTGCTGCGCCCCACATTCAGCTCGTGCTTTAGATGAGGACAGGACCTCCAAGCGCCTGTGGCCGGGGAGTCCAGGCCTCTGGTGCTCGCACACAGTCTCCAGGGGAATCCTGGGCTGGTCCTGCTCTGCTGCGGAGCAGTGAGTGGGGGCGCTGACCGTGCCCATGCATCTGTTGCTGGGCGGGTGAGGATGGGCAGTGCACGGTCGGCAGCAGTCCTGCTCATCCGTTCGGGAGGCCCCAGGCCAGAAGGATCTTTCTGAGTATCTGGGCTGGCCTCGGGGCTAGAGGGCTGCTCAGGCTCAGCCAGAGCCTTGAAATGAAAGATGCATTTCAGTTTGTAACATAGTTCGTATGCTTTGTTTTTGTTTGTTTTTTACAGTGCTGGGGATTGAACCCTGGGTGCTGAGCTGTATCCCCAGCTCTTTTTCAGATTTTTTGTTTTGGGGCAGGGTCTCACTAAATTTCTCCGGCTGGGCTCTGCCGTCCTCTCGCCTCAGCCTCCTGGAATGCTGGGATTGAGGCACATGCACCATGCCCAGCTATAATTTAGCTTTTTTCTTTTCTTTTTTTGGACACAGGTGTTTAGAGATTGTGGACAAACAATTTTTTCTTCACTGTTACTCTTTGGGAGGGGTGACAGATCCATCTAGGGCTTTGATGTATTTCTCTTTATTGTCTTGTGAGCATAGGTAAGTTGCCATCAGACACTGCCCAATAGTGGCACCAGAGCTGGCCCAGCACCTTGTGTGTCCTCCTGGAATGCGCCACCCACCATTGCTGGGTGAGTGGCACTTCTGTCGAGGACCTTGGAGACAGGTGGCACTCTGCCCAGGAGCAGGGGCTTCTGGATTGCCTGCGTGTGGTTCATCCCGCTTGCCACTGTGCACAGTCTGTGTTGACTTTTGGCCTTTCAGAAGTTTCTGTGCTTGGTTTTATTGTATATTTTTGCCAGTTATAAAATCATTAAAATAACATGCATCTACCTTTGGAAAAACACAGAAAATTCGAGCAGAATAAGGAACCCTCCCTAGGAGGTTGTTTGGATGCTGATCACACCTGTCCTGGCTGTCACTACGGTCTGAGTGTGGGATGGACCTTGGGATGGGCCTGGCTCAGCTGGGGCTTGGCACTTTCCGAGTGCTGCTCTATGGAACTGGCGGCTCTGCCTTTGCATCATGGTTAGCCTTGGACCTTACACCTACCAGGCTGGGCCTCCCCTTGTGGTGGCTGTGGAGCCAGTTCTGGTTCTCAGACTGAGGGGTCCGGGCTGGCCGTTGCATGTCATTCTGATGGCTTTATCCTCCCTGGTGTGGGATCCCCCTATAAGTAAGGAATGTTGTGCTCTGAGGAGGACAGATCACTTTCCTAGTTCTCAGTCTGCAGTTTGAAGAATTCCTGTCATTTTCTTAGAAGAAGAATGCTGCATTGAAGAAAAGGTTGTTCACCTGAGCCCTGCCCTCAAATTTGTAAACGTGAGGCCAGTATCAGCTGGGCTGAGGGGTGGCAGGGAAGTGCCACCCACGCCTCACCTATCCCTGGGAGCCCTTGCAGGGTCCGTCTGTCCAGGGAGCAGCTTCCCCTGACCCCGGGGCCAGGGGTCTGCCCTGTCCTGGGTGTGGAGGTGAGGTTACAGTGGTGTGCCATGACACAGAGGAGAGGTTTGTTACAGACACTGATGGTGTAAGACTTGCCTGGATGCTTAGCGACAGGATTACTGTGCTGAGAGGAAGTCTAAGCAGGTGCCCCAGGAGCCCGTGAAGTTCCTCCTTGGTATGTACTTTGTGCTGTCTTTCTCCACCATATATTCTCCACCCAAAAAGATGAAGCAGCTTTAACATGAATGTCACATTTTATTTTCAAGGAATTGTTATCTATGACCCCTTTGTAAAGGAAAGATATTATTGTAAATCTTTTTATTAAATAATGTAAAGATGTATATCTGTATTTTTGGATCATGTTATAGATTATGGATATATTGTTTAATAAATAAAGTATTTTTTGGAATAAACATTGGAAGAGTGTCATTGTGGGAAATAGGTGTGGCCTTTCCCTGTTGTGCCAGAAGTGACACTTGTGCCTCACATCAGCTTTGGACGCTCAGGTGCTGACCAAAGGAGAGTTGTTTGGGGACTTGGTGGGCTCTGGGCCTGGTGGGCCCTGGGCCTTGCCCTGGTTGGGTGCTCAGGAAGGTCAGTGGGCAGCACCGAGCTCCACTGTGGGCTGTCAGAAGTGGCTCCCCGGCACCCACAGAAGGTCTCTGCTTATGGGGAATGCTGGGAATGCCGCGGTCACTGAAGGAGCGCTGGGCCTGCCCTTGGATGGGGCTTACCAGCTTTCTCACAGTTGTGGATCTTGGAAGCCCCAGGTCGGTGCCTGCTGGCCTCTCCTTTGGCTTGTGTTCAGCTGCCTTTGCATGGCAAACGGGGATTGCTGTGCCCTGATTGTGGGACCGTACTAATTATATCCATGTAGGCTCTGTCCCCAAATATAGTCACACTGGGGTTCAGGCATCCCTGAAAGAACTAGGAGGGAGAGACAGGCTGTAGCTCAGTGGGATTTGTCTAGTGTGCAACGCTCTGGGTTCAAGCCCCAGTACTGCAAAAAATTTAAAAAAAAAATTTTTTGTGGGAGGACCCAAACCTAAGTTGAGTGGGACTCAGGACATTTCCTTGAGGGGTGCTGACACCACAAACAGCTTGGTTGTGACAAGAGTTATATCCTCTCACCCACCAGCCAGGTGAGACCTGGTGTCCTCCCTGGAAGAGGAGGTGGGGTCGAGGGGAAGGGCCTGACCCACTACCACATGTCTGCGTTTTGGATGCACAGTCTAGGGTACCTGCAGCCACTCACCAGGTGAGTGTGCCCTGGGAAGGGACAGCCATTTCTCTTCTGTGGGCGGGTGGTAGTCAGTACTGGCTCTGCAGTGGCGATCAGGTGGCAGGCAGCCTTTGAGATGCCCACACACCCCTGTGGCCTCTTGCTCGGGTGTAACAGACATTTCTCTCATTCTCTCTCTTGCTTTCTTTTCTCTTTTCTTTTAATCCTTCCTTCCTTTCTTTCTGGCTCTTACTATGTAGTCAGGCTGGCCTCACCCTTGAAATTTTCCTGCCCTAGCTCCCAAGGGCTGAGATGACAGGCCTGTGCCACCATACCAGCTACACATAGGCATCCTTGATATCCCCCAAACTCCCATGTGGGCCTGTGGGGAGAGGACTGTGTGGACATGTCCTGAACAGGCTAGGAACTCACAGGCATCCTTGACCTGGGAGATGCCTGGGTGACGTGCTTTACATATCTCCCTGACCTACCTGGGCAGCCCCTAGGGCTGCAGTCCGTTAGAGGCACAGGTGGCGCCTCCACTGCAGCTGTGGCTCTAGACACTGCAGTGTCCTCCTGGCACATGGATGCAGCTGCCGAGCTCTCATCATTTTCTCCATGCCAGTTTACAGGTACACCAGGACCTGCTGGTTTCCTTAACAAAGTGACTGCACCTCCACACTGCCTCAGCACTCCATGGCTCTCTTGCTCTCTGCCCCAGTCTGGTTCAGAGATCCAAAGTGTGTGTGTGTGTGTGTGTGTGTGTGGTGGGGAGCAAACCAGGACCTCACCCAGGATGGTGGGAGCCACTGTATTCTAAGGATTAAGACATGGAGCCTAAAGCAAAAGGCAAAGTGGAGGCCTTCAACCACCCAGGACGGGGCCTGGGAGAGGCAGCACCTCCCAGGGCAGCTTTAGCCATCCTAGTGTCTTGGGGTGGGGTGGGGCAGGGGGGCTGTGGAGCTAGGGTGCAGCTGCTTAGGACTGGGCTTTGTGGCTAGCCTCAGGGGCTTGGGGGGCCACTCCATGGAACTGGTTGGCCTCTGAGGAGAGCACCAGCCCCTTGAGGTTCCACATGAGCCCCAGCCCTGGGCCTTTGACAGGAGATTGTTTGGATCTTGTCACTTTTGCTGCCTGAAGGACATCAGCATAATGGACAGGGCACCAAGGAGCCAAGAATCCCGGGGGAGACAGAGACCCCTGTGGAGAGACCCAGGGGAGACAGAGACCTCTGGAGATAGACACCTAGAGACAGAGACCCAGGGGAGACAGAAGCTCCTAGGGGAAGGGGCCAGTAGGATGCAGGAATGGGCCTGGCTGGTGGACATGGGCCTGGTAAGGGATAGGTCGTGCTGGGAAGCCTGCTGGATGGAGCTGGACTCTAGTCCAGGCGCTTTGGGACGCTGGACTTACAGAGGGGCCCGGGGGAGGGCGGGGCCTGGCGGAGCTGGGAGGGCGGGGCCGGGGCCAGCTGGTCGGTCGGGAAGGGGTTAGTGCGCAGGCGCTGCTCCGCCATGCTCTTCTCTGCGCGGGTCCTACGGGGACAGGGACGCGGACGCTGACAGGGACCAGGACGGAGACGGGGTTGGGTCAGGTGCGCGTGCTCCCTCGGGTGCCTCGTTTCCTAACCTCCGGCGGCCCGTCAGCCAGAGTTCTGACCTTGAGCTCTGATTGCACGCACAGGTTCGCGGCCCGGGCACACAGAGGAGGAGGGCGCTGCGCGTGCGCCGCCAGCCGGCCGCGTACCTTGGGTGAGACGCAGGCGCTCTGAGCCCAGGGAGCTAAAGTGGCCTCGTTAGACCCTGTGCCTTTCAGGGGTGACCCTAAGGGTGGCCTGGCCTCGCGTGGAGCGAGTTTCCTCCATTTGCCCTTCATATGCGAGACAGGGTCCTAGCTCAGTTACCCAGGTTAACCGTGAACGTGTTATCCTGCCTCGGCCTCCCAGGGTGCTGGGGTTACAGGCATGCACCATCTCGCCTAAGGAAAGGTTTTTGGTTATGCAGACAAGTTTTTTAACTTGTGGCACAATATAAGCAGTACATGAAATTCGCCTTTTTGGCCCTCTTTGGTGCATAATTCAGTGATACCTTCGCTTTCCTTTTAGATCCTTAGAAGAGATTATTTGTAAATGCTGTAAAGCACAACGGGCAGGACAGTCAGTGAACCCTGCACCTCAGTCTGTCCTGCTCGGTGCTTGCCCCCTCCCGGGCATGGCTGTGTGCTTGGGCTGTAAGGGGCTCTCAGGGCTCCACTGTGTTCCTGAGCCGCAAGTTCAATCCCTTCCTTTGCAGGGCAGAGACAATGGTGTCCCATCAGGTGCCCAGATGGTCCGCATGGATCTTCCGGGCCTCTCCAGGTTGGCAGAGGACGGCCTGTGCTCCTGGGGCCTCGGTGGGACAGCAGAGGTGGCCGAGAATCCCCTGGCAAGTGTCCGGCCCTCTGGCCTTCAGAGGCTGTGCCTCCACAGCCCCCAGAGTCCCCAGGGTGATGCCCACCTCTGAGCGCTACCCTGTGCAGCGGCTACCCTTTTCTGTGGTGTCTGAGGAGGACCTGGCCGCCTTTGAACGCATCATCCCAGGCAGGGTCATCACAGACCCGGAGGAGCTGGAGGTGGCCAACGTGGACTGGCTGAGGACAGTCCGGGGTGAGTCAGGCCTGGGGAGTAGCTAAGTAGAGTGTGGAGGGTAGGCCCGTGTTCCCTCTCATGCCTTTGGGAGCAGGCGGGCCGAGGAGGGGCCTGAAGTTTGAGACTGAAATGCAGCCAAGTTTGCAGGTGGTGTGTGACATCTGCAAAGGAAAAGGTGGCATGGTCCCCTGGCTGCACACATAGCTATGAACTTCTTTATGCTCTTCCCAGGTCCCCTCTCAGTGTCTTGGGCTGCTGTAACCAAAGATCACAAATGAGGGGGCTTACAACTGCTGAAGCTTCCTCTCTCGATTCTAGAGGCCAGAAACCTGACAGGCAGGTTGTCTGCATGGCCTGTCCACTCCCAGGGCCCTGGTGTCCCAGACTCCTGGTGGCACCACTCCAACCTCTGCCTACTCTCCATCTGCCTTTCTTCTTCTACAGAGACCTTGTCTTTGGGTTTAGAGTCCACCTAATCCAGGATGAGCTCATCTCAATTTTTTTTTTAATCTCAAAATCCCCCAGGATTGAACTCAGGGCCTTCCCACTGAGCTGTGTACATCCCCACCCTTTTTATTTTTTATTGTGAGACAGTGTCATTGGACAGAGTCCAAGGAGGGTGCCAAAGCCGAGATAAGAAAGGTAAACCTGCCCTACCTGTAGAATAAGTTTGTGATTTCACTTATTATCATTGCAGAAAAAAAATTTTCAGGCCTGGTTAGTAAGAAACAGAAAGGATTTATTAGGCAGACTTAAAAAAAAATACCCAGTCAGGTGGGATGTGGGGATTCTGAGAAATGAGAAGCATGATCTTTTGGAACTGGAAACATTTATGCTTTTCTCGAGGGGGTGGACACCTATGAAAAGATGGCCCACCTCCAAGAAGGGTAATGGCCCATTGTGTAGGTGGAAGTATGACCTCAGCTTTTTTTTTTTTTTTCAATAAGATGAATTATTTAAGCATTCTTTGAATTCTCTCAACCTGTTCCTTTAACCTAAAATTTCTGCTCTTTACTTCTTTTTTTTTTGGACTGGGGATCAAGCTTGGGACCTTGCGCTTGCGAGGCAGATAGTGGCACCACTGAGCTAAATCCCCAGCTCTTTACTTTTTTAATTAAGTCAGTTATGGACTTACAGTGTTCTTGAGGAGTTTGGTATGTGTCTTAGTTACATTTCTCTCCTTGACGAGTCAAAATATCCGACACCCAAAGTTAAGAGAGGAAAAGTTTATTTAGCTCACAATTTGTAGAGGTTTCAGTCCATAATTGACTGGATCCAAGGCAGGGTGGCACAGGGCAGAGGGGCAGCAGTTCATGGCAAACTGAAGGCAGCAAAGCAAGGGACCTGTGGTGTCTTTCTGCCCCTTTTATCTTATCCAGACTACTTAGAGCGGGTGGCACACTCTTAATCCTAGTGCCTGTGAGCCTAGCAGGGCACCATGAATCAATCCCAGCATCACACACTCTAGATCCAGTCACCTCTGAAAAAGCCCCTATGAATACATGAGGCTTTGGGGGGATATCTAGACACAGCCGTAACAGCGTGTGATAGGTCTGGAAGGAAAAAAGCCTAAGCGAACCTAGGGAATGCTGATATGGGTAGTCTTGGGGAACTTTGTGTCCTGGAAGTTGCAGTCTTCTTTTTTTTTTTTGGTACTGGGGATCCAATTCGGATCCTTGGGCTTGCACAGCAGGCGGCGAAACCACTGAGCTAAATCCCCTGCCCATTGCAGTCTTCTTAAAAGTACAATTTTTAAAAATGTGATTTCCCTTGTCTCCTTTTTACTTACCTTTATTTTTTTTAATCCTACCTCACCAGGGTCTCACTAAGTTGCTAAATTGCCCAAGCTAGGCTCAAACTTGGGGTCCTCCTACTTCAGCCTCCCAGAGTGCTGGGGTTACATGCATGCACCATCATGCCTGGCTGCAAGATCTTAATTATTCAGTCACCAGAATAATTCTCTCCAAGTTGGTCCCCCCAGAGAGGAGGTAGGGACCTCAACCATCCCAATCCACAGAATAGGTTCTTGATTTCTCATGGAAAAGAATTGGTAGACTTGGGAAACAGCTGCCAGACTTGTCATGAGAGGTGTAGATAGATTTATTAGCCAGCAGTATCACCAGGAAGCTGGGTCCTGACACCACAGACTGGTGACTCTGCTCTTGGGCTTTTTGTGTCTTTGACAAAAGATTTCAGCAAGACGCCCAGGCAGCCGCGAAGAGTATAGGTAAAGTTTACTGCAAAATGATGGATCTTCAGAGTGATGCAGAGGGTGCATAACTTCAATCCTGAAGGTGGGCAAGCGCCAAGATGGCAGAAACATCAGATTAGGGCTCAGGCTACATTTGTAGGACTAAGTGGGGCTTCAAGGAATATTCTTTCCTTCCTCCAAGGTCATTGTCTTTTTAACAAGGAATATGGGCTGTTGGACCAACTGTAGAGAGGAAAAGTTTCCTTTCTACTCTCTACGTGGAAAGTCTCATTTAGTTTGTTTGAAGCTAAAGTTTTTCCACCCCTTCACCCATGTTGGACTTTGTACAGGCCCTGGAATCTCTCACCATGGTCAGAGGACATTCTCTTGGGCCAAAGTTTTAAACCATAAGCTTATTCGAATTCTAATAGCTAATAGTTGAGAACATGGAGGAAAAATAAAACAACATCAGTTCTTTGCTTTTCATGAGCCCCCAGCTGTCTGTCTTCAGGACTGCTGAAGTCTAACTTTCTGCCTAACAGAAGAGTGTGGGCCCTCTAGGGTGAGAGGCATTATGGTCTGTAGATGGCGGAGGTTTTATATATATATGTTTGTTGGGGTAGAAATCTGTGGAATTTAGGAATCTATAGAAAGGGGGGGCTTAATTTATTAGTGAAAGGCAATAGCCCAATTTGTAGGTGGAAAAATAGGGAAGGCCTCATTTTACAGACTTATTGTGTCTTTAAGACTCTTAGGTGTTTTTCTTTTGAGTTTTCTAGAAGGGGAAAAAGGGCATTGTAACTTTGGGCAACTTAGATTATATCCTGGAGCTATACTATGTTAGACACTCTCCTCGTCACTGAAACATAATAACTGACACTAATTAAAGAAAGAGAGGTTTATTTGGCTCACAGTTTGTAGAGGTTTCAGTCCATAGTTGGCTGGTTCTATAAGGCAAGAAGACAGCGTGTCAGAGGATAGCTGCTCACATCATGATATCCAGGAAACAGAAGATGTGAGAAGGGAAGGGCTGGGGTGGGAAATCAGTCCTTCCAAAGCCACACCCCCAGTGACCCACCTCTTCCAATAAGGCTCTACCTCCTAACAGCAAGTTAGTTACAACCACCTGTAACCCATTCAAAAAGCCCCACCTATGAGCACAGAGACTCTTACATATAAACTGTAACATTCCACCCTTGGCACCCAAAAGTCTCATACACATCTCTTCATGCAAAATGCATTCTGTCCATCTCTAAGAGTTGCCAGATCCTAACACTGCCAGCATTGCTGAAAAATCCAAGTCCAAAGTCTTCTTTGAGACTCAAGGCAAGCTCTTAGCTGTGAAGCCTTGTAAAAATCAAAAAGAAAGTTAAACACTGCTGACATACAACGGCACAGGATAAACATTTCCATTCCAGGAGGGAGGAATGGGGGATAGAGAGGACTGGGACCAAAGCAAAACTGAAACCCCACAGGGCAAACATTAAATTCCATAGTTCTATGTCTAGTATTTGGGGAAAGCTGTGGTTGAGATGTGATCTCCAAATGATTTGCGTGGCTCTGCCCCTATGGCAGTCCTTGCTGATTCTTGTAGAACTCAGTGACTCTTCTCTTGGGGTGGCTTTGCAGTTTTCCTCAGACATTTCACATTTCACATTCTTGGCTTCTCTAAGTTTCTTGGGTCTCTACTGCATTTTCAGCTTTACTCCCACAGCTATGTGAATGCCCTCTCAGAGCCACACTACTTGGCCTTCCAGGCTTCCTCTGAAATCTGGATGGAAGCCTCGCGGACTCTAAAACTCTTGCCTTCTGCATGCCCATAAAACCAGCATCGCGTGGATGGTGCCAGGTTTGCTGCTAACTAGAGCAGTAGCTAGCTTTCCTTGTACCATGGCTAGAGAGGTCTCTGAGTGCCTTCATGGTTGAGGATTATGAAGCAAATCCTAGGGAACAAATTCTCAAGCATGGTGTGTTGGGGCTTACTTCTCAAAGCAAAGTCTTTCACCTTTGCAATTTTGAGGCTGCAAAGGTGGTTCTTGTGATTCCTTCAGGGCATCTTTCCTGTTGTCCTCTTCCATCATACTTTGCTTTTTAATGCTAATCTTTTCAACAGCCAAGTTCTCCGCTGCTCCATCTTTGCAGACTAATGGTGCTTCCTTTCTGGCTAAACTCAACTTACTAAATCTTTCTGGTGGGCCGTTTGCTCTTGATTCTCAAGGTACAGATGGCTAAAAGCCCCCAGTAGTAACCATGCCACCACCTCAATATCAGACTGCCTTGAAATTTCTTCTGCCAGATTAATTAGTATGCAACCCTTAATCTCAGTCTCCTGCAGTGTCTCTGGATATGGGCAAAATGTAGACAAATTTTCTCTCAGAGCGTAAAGCACATGGCCTGGAGTCCAACTCCCAGTGGTGTCCTTGTTCTAAACTGAAATCTCCTGAGCCTGGTCTTTACTAGGTGCAGTTCTGTCAGACCATTCCTGGTCTTCTGAACTCTGACCAGACTCTCCCCTCAGGCTGGGCTCACGCCGTTGTAGGCTTCTCTAACCCACATCTCCAGACCTTTTTGTACGTCTTCCCCAAGCTATTTCCAAAGGCCTCTGAACCACATGGTCAGGTACTATGGTGCTGGCAACAGCCTCGTACTTGGTACCAAAATCTTAGTCACTCTCCTTTGTTGCTGAGACACAGTATCCAACAGCCACAATTTAAAGGAGTAGAGGCTTGCTTTGGCTCATGGTGTCCAGGAAGCAGAGGCAATGAGAAGAGAGGAGCTGGGAAGGGGGATAAAGTCTCCCAGGCCATGCCCTCAGTGACCTGCCTCTTCCAGCCGGGCCCACCTCCTCACAGGCAGTCAGCCATCAGCCCACGTAGTCCAGTCACCTTCCGCAGTCCCCAGCTGTGCGAGCACAAGGCTCTTGGGGACATCTAGGTACAGACCACTGCCTGCAGCCTTCTCTCTTCCCTTCTCCTTTAGGGTACTTGGAATTGAACCATTGCGCTGACCTATATCCCTTCCCTACTTTCTTGTCGATGAGAAAAAACACCCGAAGCCTGCAAGTCGGAAGGAATTTCAGCTCACCGTTTGTCGAGGTTTCAGTCTGTAGTCAGCTGACCAAGGCAGGGCAGCATGGCAGGGGCGTCGCAGAGGAGAAAGCTGCCTCCTCCTTCCCTTTGATCCCATCCAGGCCAAGAGCCTGTTGGTTGCTGCCCACACTTGGGGCGGGGGTGGGGCTGGGAGTGGGGGTAGGGGGTCTTCCCTCTTTAATGAGCCCACATCTGTACCCGGTACTGCGCTAAACCAGTCAGGGGACTGATCCAGCATCACACATCCATGAACCAGTCCACCTCCCAAGAGCCCCACCTGGGACTGCGTGAGGCCTCGGGGGACATTGTAGATATAAACCCTAATAATCTCCAACCCTTTAAAAATGTTTACTTTGAGACAGGGTCTCACTAAGTCAAGTTGCTCAGGCCAAGCTGCTCAGCCTGTGGTGCTCCTGGGGGAGCAAGGGCCTTAGGAATGTCGGGAAGGGGTGCTTTTGGTTGTCACCAACCCAAGTGACCTGGAAGGTGAGGCAGCCTGTGGGTTGGAGTGGCATGTGGGTTTTTCCTGCCGTGGCTGTTTGAGGAGCACGCTCCTGGCCCGGCTGTGAGCACTTGCCTGCGTATGTGCTCCTGACTTCCTGCCTCCCGCCCTGCGCTCCGTGGTCTGGCGCTGTCCACATGCTGGGCATCTGGAGGCCCTTTGTTACCGTCTTCCCTTGGAGTTAGCTGAGGGGTGGGCATGCTGCCCGGTCTCCTCTGCCTGTGACAGGAAGACTTGAGGGGGTGCCTAGGACATTTCCTGTGTGGGGAGCTCAGGCTTTGCTAGGAGGCTCCCACCTCCGAGCCTCAGTCATTTGTCTCAGGCCAGCATCCCCAGTGTGGTACAGCCCCCTCGGCGAAAGACCTCACATCACGCTGGTGACAAGCAAACTCGTCTTTCGGAGTCAGGAAGTAAGATAGGAACTGTGTGGTGTTTGATTCTTAGGGTTGCAGAAAGAATGATGACAGCTTCTCTCGGTCCCTGCTGTCACTTGGGGTCCTCTTGGAGAAGCCAGCAAGGCTGAGGGAAACCCGGGTGTCGCAGGTGGCAGTGGCTAAGCACAGCTTAGTGGGACTGCTACCCACCATGTCTGACATGAGGCAGAAAAGGCAGTGTGTGAGGGAGGACTCCACTAGCCCCCCTTACACGCTTGGGAAGATGGCTGAGTGAACGCACCATGGGACCAGGGGAGCCCTTCCTTCGCACAGATGTGGTAGTGGACTGATTAGAAATCACCACCTGGCAGCTGTTGCAGTAGCTGATTTATGAGGATGATCAGCATATCCTGAAGTCATCAGGTGGCAGTTTGAGGAGGAGCAGCAGTGTTCAGAGTCTCAGAGGGAGATAGTGATTTTGTGGCGGAGAAGCCTCCTGGACACCCCTCAGCATGGGCCCAGCCACCTTTGACACAGTGGAGTGGAGAACGGCAGGATCTCCTAAGCTCTACTGCATGCTGATCCCCACAGCTGGAGCTGCTCCCTGCCCAACACATCACTGGGCCCTGCCTTTCTCTGCCTGTCAAGACAGCTGTGGTGTGTGGGTCCCCTTGCTGGGAAGAGCAGGTGCCTGGAGATCATCCTTTCCTATGAGCGCAGACAGACATGTGCCGGTCACTTCCCTGGTGGCAGCTGATGTGCTGTTCTCTGTCCCAGGCTGTAGTAAGGTGCTGCTGAGGCCTCGGACCACGGAGGAGGTGTCCCACATCCTCAGGTAACACCGAATGTGGTATCCCAGGTAGGGACGCCCGGCATGGTTACAGGGTCACACTTGTAGCGCCATCCCTGTGCCATGCTGCCTCCTGGGGTCCCTTTTGTACACCCCTTTCCCCAAACCCCTGCCCATCGGAGTCCTCACTTTAGGTCTTCGCAGAGTGAGCCTGGATGGGGAGGAGGTGACCTTGATGGCCCCAAAGCGTGGTCTGGGCTGTGGGTCAGGGATGTGGGGACCCAGCATCAGCAGAGGGACTGCAGGGAGCAAGGCAGTGGGGTGTGGGCACCGTGGAACCTGCTGGGTTTTCAGGAGTCCCCTCCTTACAGGTGAGGCCCTGAGGCTGAGTCAGGCCACACTCACTGCCTAGCCATGGTCAGGGTATGTGTCAGGCACAGGGCCTGCGCACCCTCACTGAGGGCTCTGCCTTCCTCAGTCTCCCCATGGGTGTGGTGGGAGCAGCTTCGGAGAGGCTGAGGGCAGGGACCAGACTTGGGGGTGGGTGTTTGCCCCATGCTCTGGCCTTTGTGGACAGTGGCCTGGAGTGGAGACGCTGGCCTGACGCCCCTCCCGTGCTCATCTCAGGCACTGTCACCAGAGGAACCTGGCTGTGAACCCGCAAGGAGGGAACACAGGCATGGTGGGGGGCAGTGTCCCCGTCTTCGACGAGATCATCCTGTCTACTGCCCTCATGAACCAGGTCATCAGCTTCCATGATGTGTCCGGTGAGCCTGTGCTGCCCATTGGGGACCCATGTCCCTCCCTGTGCTGCTCGGGGTTGTCCTTCCTTGTCAGCCACCTGGACTATGGCCAGGTGAGCAAGTGTGTGCCTCCCAGGCTGGCAAGGACCGGCAGCTGCAGTCAACTGCTCACCACTCTGGTCCCCTTGGACTCCGACATGCTGTGCCACATCAGCCTTTCCCGTGGCGTGGTGACTCAACAGGGCCTTCTCTGCCCCTGGGGCATGTGGCCTAGGTCTTTGTTTGTGGCTGGGCACTGTGACTGTTAGGGTGCTGAGCAGCAGCCCCGGGCTTCCCCCATTAGACGCCAGCAGTGCCCACACTAGTAAGTACCCAGACATCAACAGAGGCTGCACCGTGAGCCCCAGGGAGGACACTGCTCTGTAGTGATCGTCTTACTCCATCTGAGTGTGTGTGTGCGTGCATGCATGCATGTGAGGGCCTGTGTAGTTTTTCTCCACTCTTGCCTTTGCAGTTTTTCTTTTGCTAAGGCGACTTAGAGCCTGGGCAGGGTAGAAGGGGAGGCCTCTTCCTCTGCCCTGCTCTACAGCAGGTGTTCCTTCTGGGTGGTTCACATCTGCAGAGTGGTGGGGGTGGTCCCCCAGCTGTGACAGGAGCCATGGGTACAACATGGGTTGCTCTCCACAGGAATCCTGGTGTGCCAGGCAGGCTGTGTGCTGGAGGAGCTGAACCACTATGTGCAGGAACGGGGCTTCATCATGCCACTGGACTTGGGAGCCAAGGGCAGCTGCCACATTGGGGGCAATGTAGCGACCAATGCGGGCGGTCTGCGGTTCTTGCGGTATGGCTCACTGCGTGGGACTGTCCTGGGCCTGGAAGTGGTGAGTTGGTGCCAGTTTGGGCAGACCCGCAAAGGTCCTGCTGTCGGTCTGTTTTCCAGGCCCTAGGAGATGGCGTGGATTTGGGAGACCACCTCAGCATGTCAGGGCACGCCCAGATCAGAGGTCCCGTTAGGCCAGCCCCCGGGTCCCACACCCCTCTGGGAACCCTGCTGTGCTCCTCATGCCACAGATGGTGCATCGACGGGAGGCGCCACCAGGAGATGCAGCACAGCAGTGTTCCACCTGGGCCAGGCCTCCCAGAGTAGAGGTCAGAGCAGGGTTATCCAAGGCCATCAGCACCACTTGTTTCCGGGAACCTGCATCGTGCTAAGTGTCACATGTTGCAGTTTCTGAAGGGCAGGGCTTTTTGTCCTGTTTACTCAGGTGGAAGACAAAGACAAAACCATGCTTATCCTTGGAATCACAACATCCTGGTAGCTTTGTTTCCTGGTGGCCACCTTTTATTTGCATGGTGTATTGCCTCCTCCTAGTCTTCAGCTGTCAGCCTCAGTCTCAAAGAACCAGCCAGCACACTTGAGGCTCAGAGTGCAAGGACCATGATGCTTGCAGGGGTAAGGGGTTCCAGTGTAGGGGACTCCACTGCAGTACTCCTTCAGGTGTGCTCCCCAGATGTCCTCTGCTCCCCAGGTATGCTCCCCAGGCGAGAGGCCTCAGGTGTGCTCCCAGCTGTGTTCTCCTAGGTGTGCTCCCCCCAGTGTATCCCCCAGTGCATTCCCCCAGGTGTATTTCCCAGCTGTGTTCCCTAGATGTGCTCCCCACTGCTCCCCCGGGTGTGTTCATCCCAGGTGTGTCCCCAGGTGTTATCCCTTTTCAGGCAGGCTTTCCTCCAGCAGCGGGACATTGAGTTTCCTGGGTGTGCAGTGATGGTAAGGTTGGGGAAGTCTTGCTCCAACCAGGAAGGAAAACCTTCCTTTATCTAGCCAGGTGACCCCTGGGGCCTCTTTGCTTCTGGGGAGATGGGGGCTCCTGGCTGTGCGTGGGGTGGGAGGGTGCTGTGGACTGAGGCACCACCCTCAGTGTGGAGGCTGGAGAAGTGCAAATGCGGATGTTGGAACCGGCCATTCTGAGGGCCTGTGTCTCCTCCCTGCCAGGTCCTGGCTGATGGCACTGTCCTGGACTGCCTGACCTCCCTGCGGAAGGACAACACAGGCTATGACCTGAAGCAGCTGTTTATCGGGTCTGAGGGCACCCTGGGGGTCATCACGGCTGTGTCCATCTCGTGTCCACCCAGGCCCAAGGCTGTGAATGTGGCCTTCCTCGGTAGGTGTCCTTGGCTTGGCTGGGCTGGATGGTGGGAAGTAGCCTGTGGGGTGTCCAGGGCTGGCAGGGTGGGGCTGGGGGGGCCCGTTTGTCCTGGCTTCTCTGTTCCCCGAGACATCGGTGGAACCCAAGACCTAGTGTCCCTGGAGCTCACAGAATATAGCCTCCAATCAAAAGCCTTTCTCTGTCCCTGGTTGAACACGCTTTGTCTATAACCAAAATGAGGTTCTCTTGCACTCCTTCACTCCATTGTGCTTGGGTTTAAGTAGTGTGCAGTGAGCTTCAGAGGGAATGATGTCATTTGTTGTATGTTTCAGGGCGCTGATTTTTTTCCTTTTTTTCAGTACTAGAGATGGAACCTAGGGCCTTCACATTGAGCTATATCTCTTTTTAACAAGTTATAAATTTTGAAAACAGATCTTTTTAAGTCAGTAAGTTGTCCAGGCTGATTTTGAACTTGCAGTCCTCCTGCCTCAGTCTCCCAGAGTGCTGGGTTACAAGTGTGCTTCTCTCAGTCTGGCTAAGATGCAGTCTTTTTTTTTTTCTTCTTCTTCTTCTTCTTTTTCCTCAACAAGGCTTTTTACTTTTGCAAAAGGGCACAAGCACACCCCACCAATGAGGTAGCAGGCACACAGGGCAAAGGAAGGTGGCCCCTTTTATCTCTAATGCATGGGAAGCAACTGACCTTTTTCCCCATTGGTTAGATTGAAGGTTTACAATCTATCCCGATTGGCTAGCTTCAGGGGTGAGAAGGGTTGGTGGACAGGGTTAAGGGAGGGTAGAGTGGGGACTTGGGGCACTGAAAGTCCTTGGCTGTTGATAAGTCATCTTTAGCCGTTAGCTGTGTTTCTGGGTCTAAACTGAGCAGGCTTTTCTTAAAACTCAGTGTGTTGAGGAGAGGCTGCGTAAGGTGGTCTAGAGTCCAAAATGGAGACACTCTTGTTTGATAGAAAAGACAGAACTATTGTTTCTCACAGTTCCCTCCCTGAGAAAAACATTCTCACTCTTTTCTTCAAACTCTGTGATCAGTTTATTCTTTCTGTTGCGTTTCTTTGTCAGGACCATGCTGGCTGGATAAGGGGGGTTCATCTCTGCTTGGCCATTTGGACTGAAGTTTTGGTAGCCAGGAGCCTGGCCAGGTGGAGGTGCTGTCCAACCATCTGCACACATTTAGCATCCACGAACTCTAAGGCAAGCAGGTCACTTGGCTACATTGCTGTCTGAATAGCTGTGTGTACATGGAAATATCTCCAAGACTTACATCACTGACTTTTTATAAGTAAAGAACAGAATTGCTATGTGTTCCCATTTGTGACAAGGAGATATGTGTACACACACACAGATGTAAATAGACATACAAATGCAAACATATAGCACAAGCACATAAACATGTCATGTGCACATAGAAGTTTTCTGAAAGAATATGTGAGAAGCTGTTGAGAGCAGTTCCTTTGGGCAAAGTTATTTCTCGAGGAAACGTAGTTCTCATTATTCACTGTATTGCACAACTTGAATGTCTTACTATGACCATATGCTTTCTTTGTAGAATAACCAGTCCTTCAAAGAATTAGCTACTAGCAGCCAAGATTCCAAATTCCAGTTGTAGGAGGACTTAAATGCAAATCTTTTAGAATGTCTTTGATTCTTAAGAACCTTTGCAAAACTAAATTCAAACAGATTTTCCACTCTAGATGTCATTTCTGGAACACAGAGCGGTTCTTCTCTGTGGAGCTGGCAGGGCTGCATTTCATCCTCCTCAGCAACTGGGATAGCTGCTGGGTTTTTCAGTGTACATTTTCTGAAGCCACTGATTTTCAGAAACCAACAAGCACACCCCATGATGATCAAAATAACCACAATAGGGGAAATCTATGTGTTGAATTATGATTTTTCTGATTCAGACTTGGATAGATGCCTGTTGCCAGGCAAATGAAGACCAAGCAGATTACTTTGGTTGCATTGCTTCTGAATAGCTGTATGCACTCCTGATGTCACTGTGCCATTGCTGTCTTTCCTCGGGGACACGGACCCTCTGGAGTCCAGGATATCTGGGGAGCTGGCTTGCCTGCAACTGCCTTGCACACCAGTTTTTTTCTTGCTTAGGAAAATGGTTGGTTTTGGGGACAGTGACACTTGGCGTTGATGTACAGGTTGGAAATACCCAGCAGATGTTGCTGTTTCACAGCTGTTGTTTCCACAATGAACGACAGCACTGCGTGAGTCTGATGGGTCAGGTCAGGTCTGGAGGCCTCACCGTCCCCCATCAGCGCAGCTCATGTGGTGTCCCCTCTTGCGTGGGAAGGCGGTCTCCGGGGTTGTTCTCACGGTGCTAGCCCTGCTCTTGTCAGTGGGGGAGGAGGCAACAGAGTGCAGCCTTTGTGCCGCCTGTGCGCAGAGGAGCGTGCTAACTTCTGTGAGAGAGGGCTGGACTGTTCTTTGCCCTCTGCCCTCTATCCATCTGTGAACTGTCTGAGTCTCATCCTGGGCACGAGGCCTGACCTGTGCTTCATGATCTTCAAGCCAAGCCTGGCGGTCATCGAGAGGTCGGGAAGCTTCTCTGCTGCCACCACTGAGAATCCAGCCGTACCTCAGCCTTGCAGTCTGTCCCTACTGCGCCCTGGGCCTCTCTCCTTTCCTTTGGTCTTCTGAAAATTTCCTTTTCATCTCTCTGGAATTGCTGAACTTCCTAAACTGTGGCTCGGTGCCATTTAGTTTGGGGAATTCCTGTGTTGCCGCTTCTGGTCTTGGCTGTGCCTTCTGCTCTGGGCACAGTGGCTGGACGTCAGATGACTTGCAGCTGCATGTGGCTCCTGACCTCCTTCCTGCCCTCCATGTGTGGCCCCGGTGCCACATGCCACATGCTTGCTTCTCCCGGCCCCCTTCCCGTCCATGCTTGCTCCCTTTGCCGTGTAGCTTGTGTGGCCAAGCACGTCTGGGAGGGGTCTTCCTGTCCACTGGATATAAATTTGATGGTTATTGTCTTCATTTCTAGAAGTCTTATTCATTTTTTTCAAACGTGCACTATCGCTTTTCATAGTTGTCTGTACATTCCAGGTATTTTGAACCTCTGCCTGTCTTCACATGCAGCCTGTGTGATTTTCTGTGGTCTCGTGTGGAGGGCAGCTCAGTGTCTGGGCTCTGTGGTGTGTGGTGCCAGTTGTCCCTGGGGCTCTGCCTGAGGCACCCGGTCTCTCTCCTGTGTGTGGGGCTTCCTGGCAGTGCTGGCTCATGGCCGTGAAGAGTGCTGTGTGGGGCTTGAGGAGGCGGAGGGTGAAGGTGCCCTCCTAGGGGACAGCCTTGCTTTTGCTGGCTGGCAATGGTTGCCCTGAAGCCTGGGCTTGTGTAGCCCTCCTACTGCAGGGTCTCTGGGGCTGCCCGCCCACCAACACATCCTCTCTGTCACGTGGTCGGTCAGCTCCCTGGGTTGGTGCTGCACTGGTGGCCCCTAGCCTGGAGCACTTCGGGGACCTCAGGGTGTCCAAAAATTTGGAAGAGCAGATGAGACCGGTGTCAGTGATGCTAAAAGAAACGCAGGCAGCCGCTTTTCAAAGGCTGCCCCTTGCTGGCCCGCACATGGAGACGCCAGGTGTGGCCCCTCTGGATTCCCCACCAGCCGAGCACTGTGTGGCAGTTCCTCGGCGTGTGTCTTGTCCCGACCTGGACTCTGGAAGTGACCTCCAGACAGACTTGTTGGCCAACACGCAACTGTCCCTGCAGCCTGGGCCTCCTCTCCTCTCCTCTCCTCACCTGGCCTTGCAGGTTACATGGGTGTTGCTGCCCTCAAGGGGTACCTGGCACCCACAGATGTGCCTCCGAGTCCCACTGTCCTTGTGCTACATGGCCATGATGCCTTGTGACCTGTTGCAGGCTGCCCGGGCTTTGCTGAGGTCTTGCAGGCCTTCAGCACCTGCAAGGGGACGCTGGGCGAGATCCTGTCTGCGTTCGAGTTCATGGATGCTGAGTGCATGCAGCTGGTTGGGCAGCACCTCCACCTGGCCAGGCCTGTTCGAGGTACAGCCACCCCTGCTGTGGTCAGCACGGAGGTCTCCAGGTGGGAGGAGGGGCCCTGGCACCAGCAGTGCTGCTGAGGCAGTGGGAGGGGCCTTCTCAGGGTGACCCTGGGGGTGAGCATTTCCAGGGGTGCAGTGCCTCTTCCAGGAAATCTGGGCTTGGCAAAAGGCTGCTGCTCACAGGCCACCTCCTGATTCTGTGGCCCAGAGCTTGGACTCCATGGGGGACTCCACTGGGCCTGGCCCACTGTACATGTCTGCCTCTTCCAGAGAGTCCTTTCTACATCCTGGTTGAGACTTCGGGCTCCAGCGCAGAACACGATGCAGAGAAGCTGGATGGCTTCCTGGAACAGGCACTGGGATCCGGCCTCGTGACTGACGGCACTGTGGGCACTGACCAGAGCAAAGCCCAGGTGCCCTTTTGTGGATTGAGCCCTTCTTCCCTGCCCCGTGCAGCCAAGGTGTCTGATGGCGTGGTTGTCCTGCGTGCCTGAGGCATGGCCAGGAGTCATGTGGGTAGAGAGCTGCGTGGGATGGAGAGTGATTCACTGGGCCCAGATAATTTTCATCAGTAAACTCCCCACCCCGAACTGCAGGGTGAACGGAGTAGTGGGGCTTGTGGAGAGCTATGGGTCGCTGTCATGGGGCCCTGGCTGGCGGGGTGTGTGGGTCTCTCTCTGGGCACCTGGCAGTGTGCAGCTGTTGTCTCCCTGGTGTCCATCTTGTCCTTGGCTGCAGTGTGCCGAATGGCCAGCAGGGGGCAGGGTGGCCGTGGCTGTGGCCTCTGTTTAGAGAGGATCTGGATGTCCTGTTTGAAGCCACCTCAGGCTTGGGCTTTTGACTTCTCAGGTATGAGACTCCATGTACCCTAACCCTCTGAGGCATCCAGTTCTGAGGGACGCATCGTTGCCCTGCTCTGCAGTCCTGGGAGTGGAGCTTGGTGACAGGATGTTGCTCTTGCCAGCCGTGCACCTTAGTGTCCCCTCATCCTGTCATGGTGCCATCATCTGTTTTTGCCTATGAGGGCAGGAATGTGGGTCGCTCATGGCTATGTCCTGGGCATCTCCTGCGGAGCCTGCGAGGGAAGTGTCCCTGAGTGGTGGGCACTGGTCAGCTGCCCGCTGGCCCCGTCTGCACCCAGCTGGGGCCATAGAGCAGTTGTGCTTCCTCCCAGGGCTCCCTGGTTCCCTGACCCCATTGTCCTCAGCCCTGGCAGATCATCTGTGGTGACAGACACTCCCTGGCCCGGTGGCCACAGGTGCAGAGATGCCCTACCCGCTGCTTTGTGTAGGTACCTGCGCTGCCACACTGAGTGCCTTCTCCTTTGGGGACCATGGGTAGTGGCTGCCTGACTTGGAAAGGAATCTCCTTGGCCAGAGCCACCTGGGAGGCACTTGTAGTCCTGCATGGCCCACTGTCTCCCTGGGGGCCTGTCCCCAGCCCCTCCATGTCCTTCACTGGCACCACAGTTGACACAGGGCCAGCAGCTGTGGGAGTGGCGGCTGCATGGTCCCTTTTGCTCCTGCCCACTGTGCCTGCAGGCTTCCCAGGAAAACCCCTGAGAGGTGCAGCCCCACGCCTGTGCCCCTCCCACTGGTGCTGATGGTGGATCTATAGCACTGTGCCTTGGCCAGGTTTGTGTGGTGCGGACTGTGGAGGCCTCTTAGAGCCATCACAAAGGCCTGTCTGTCGGCCTTGCATGGGACAGACTGGGGAAGCGCTGCTTGGATTCGGGTCCTCTGTGGTTTTCCCTGTGGAAGCTCTGGGTTTCTGATGAGACTTGCAGGTGGGCCTCAGGTGGGTCTGCAAGAGCCAGGATTGTGTGATTAAGAGCAGCCTTGGACACCCTGCCTGGCTGCCTTCCCTCACCTGCTGGCTGGAGGCCTGGGCTGTGCCTGGGCTGTGGAGCCGTGGCCAGCAGGTCGGTCTGTGTACCTGCTCTTCCTCCGTGCATCCATTCGTCAGCCAACCCTGGCTGGAGGTGCCAGGCTCCTTCCTGGCTGCACTGTCGCAGTGACCTGGAAGGCAAGGGCTGGGCCTGCACAGCCCGCAGTCAGGGCCATGTCCCTTGTCAGCCTCAGGGTGGTGGGGGCCGGAGGGTTCTGCAGGGCCCTGGGCTGGAGCCCGCATGTTCCAGAAAGTTCCCAGCATGGAGACTGGAGCAGAGTGGGGCGGGCAGGGGCAGCGTCTGACCAGACCCTGAGATCCTCGGGGCAGATGGGTGCCTGGGAGTGGAGTGACCAGGCCTCTGTGAACACCAGTAAGAGAACCGGGGACTCGGCATGGGTGAGGGTTGCTGATGAGTTGTCCTGGGTGTGCTTCAGGGTTAGCACGCTGCTGTGCTTACCTTGAAGGGAATGTGGTCCCCTTTGAGGTTCCACTTGTTGTGGTCCCTGGAATGACGAGGCCTGCGCAGGGTTCCAGGCCCAGGTGGGACCGTGCCTGGCCGAGGAGGGGGCCCCACAGCGGGGAGACACAGCTCTGTCCTCTCATGGGCCTCAGATGCCCAGAGCCAAAGGAAAACCAAGTGGACCGCAGAGCCATTCACCTGAATGAGCTGCCTCTCCCGACACAGTCCTTGGGCCCGGACCCCCTCCCTGGGCCTCACTCTGCCTCTGTTTCCCTGCCCCAGCCACCGGTCTTTCCCTTCCTTGTCCGTGGATCTTCCAGGGCCCTGCATGTCCGCCCCTTCACCTGCACTTCCTGCCCCTGCTCAGCCATCCCAGGACCCTTTGCCTTGCAGCAGAAGAGTGCCTGGCTTCTCCCAGGAGGGCCCCTGAGTCTCAGTGCTGCCCGGAGTGAGCCTGTGGTGGCGTGGGTCATGGTCTGGGGCCTGCAGCCATAGACAGGGAATGTGCGTCACCCTGGGGCCTGGCTGCCTGCTGACAGTGGCAGAGGCTCAGTCATGGCGACACTTGATGTATGGCTTCCCTTCTGCCCTAGTCGCTGTGGGCCCTGAGGGAGAGGATCACAGAAGCGCTGAGCCATGATGGCTACGTGTTCAAGTACGATGTCTCCCTCCCCGTGGAGCGGTTCTACGACCTCGTGAGCGACCTGCGTGCCCGCCTCGGCCCACGTGCCAAGCATGTGGTGGGCTACGGCCACCTGGGTGAGCTGTGCGGGCTCTCCAGCACCAGCACTGGCTCCGTGATGCTGGGGACCTGGAGGCTGAGGAAGTGCTCCCGCCTCTGGCTCCTGGCTGTGTGGGAACGACCGTGCCATGCACTTTCAGTGGCCGTGCCCGGCCAGCTCGGGGCCCTGGGCATGCTAGGGTGTGGCAGAGGGTGCACCCCTTCCTGGGCACCCGATCAGCGTCTGATTCACAGACCTCACTCTGAAAGAAGGGAGTCAAAGCCTGTGTTGAGTGACACAGCGCCGCAGGTCACACGTGGGAGGAAGCGGCCGTGGCCTCCCCGTCCAGGGTGTCCAGCCTGTTGTCGGGGGCATGCTGGGAGGTGTGGCAGTGGCCGTGGAGCCTGGCCTGTGGTGCTGGGGTCACCTGCCCGGAGCTCTGTGAGCGGGGCTCAGGTTCTCCCTCCGTGGTCCCCAGAGGGGGTGAAGGATGGGGCAGGTCCTTGGCCCTCCAGCGTAGCTCTCCAGGGCTCACCCTGCCTGGGTGCCATTCACCCTTGAAGTGGAAAAACCCATGCAGCTCAAGGGCAGGGCTGCTGCTCTGCACTTCTCGCAGGCAGACAGGCTTGGGGCGCCAGAAGCAGCCAGTGTGGAGGCCTGGGCCGCCTGGCCACTGCAGATGGAAGTGGGGCAGCACAGGCTGCACACTCCCGGGGCTCCCGCAGGGTGTCGGCATGCCCAGCCTGACCACTTGCCCTTGCCCCAGGGGACGGCAACCTGCACCTGAACGTGACCGCAGAGGCCTTCAGCACAGCGCTGCTGGGTGCCCTGGAGCCCTATGTGTACACCTGGACGGCCGCACAGCGTGGCAGCGTGAGTGCTGAGCATGGCCTGGGCCTCAGGAAGAAGGACGTCCTGGGCTACAGCAAGCCGCCCACTGCCGTGCAGCTCATGTGGCAGCTCAAGGCTCTGCTGGACCCCCGGGGCCTCCTAAACCCCTACAAGACGCTGCCTGCCCACGCCTGACCAGCCTCTGCCAGCTCTGTGGGGCGAGGATGTGGCTCCTGGCAGGACCTATGGGCGGCCCTGCTGATGTGGGCAAGCAGAGCCCCTGCCATGGCTGCCCTGCTTGGTGCCTCCTGCCGACTTGTCCTGGGTGGCCGGGTGAGCGGCTGCTGCCCACTCTGCTGTGGTGGGTGCTGGAGGCTGTGGGCAGAGCTGAGGTACCCCAGAGGCCCAGCCCCAAGTTGGTGACCACAGTGGCCTGGAGTAGTAGGGTGCTGTCCCCTGGGCGCTAGTGGGACCTGCCTGCCAGACTGAGCAGTGGGTGGGGGGCTGTGGTCATGTCTGAGCCCTAGTGGCAGGCATACATGTCTCCCGTCTTCTAGAAGCCCTGCCCGACAGGATGATGGCCAGGCTGGTGGCCTGCTGTGATTGCCACGAGCTCTTCAGGAGGGGGTGGATGCGCTGCCGCTCTGCAGCCATGGGCCTGGTGCACCCAGATGGCTTGTACCCTGCCAGTGGGCAGGTGGCACATGCGTTTATTAAGAATTTCTAGTAAAGGTGACTGAGCTCTCTCCGCATTCCTGTCTCTGGATACATGTCTGGTGGGAGCTGTGAGGTGCCTGCTGTCACGTCCCCAATACCCCACCTCTGGGGGTCAGTGCCACTCTCAGGACTGACTCCCCCTGTCCCTGTCCCCTCTCCCTGGAGTTGAGCTCCCGCTGGCTGGATGGCAGAGGCCAGTCAGTAGTGAGGTGGCTTGGTGGCCTTCATGGTGGCCTGCAGGGGGACCTGAGGCCTCACCTGCCACCCCTGGCTGCCTGCTGCCAGGGTCTCCTGCCTGTGGACAGGTCACATCCTGGTGGAGGTGAGTGTCATCCTGGGGTGATCTCTGCCCCACCAGTTAGGGTGTAGGTCGTAGGTCAGGGGTCAGTTTCAAGCCCCTGTGCTGGCCCAGGTGTGGCTGGTGCTAGAACTGGCTCAGTCCTCATGGCCACAGCTACTGCCCCCCCCCCAATCAGGTTTCTGCAGCAGCCCTGTGGTATGCAATGCAGGCACAGGGTAGACCTGGACACAGCCTGGCTGCATGTGTGTCCTTCCAACTTGGCTGTGGCTGCCCAACCCTGCCTCTCTGCGGGGAGGCAGTCCCTTCTCTGCTGGCTCCCTGGCCACATGGTCCTGGGTGGGCAGGAGTGTGGGCAGCACAGCTAGGGTGGCTTGTGGGGTTTTCAGACTGATGCTGTCGGTTTGCACAGCCCCTTGTCTGGCCAGCCTCGGGTGGGGCCCTCTACTCTCAGGCTCAGCCCCACCCGCTGTCCCCACGCTGACTGCTGTGGTCTGAGAGGCCACCAGGACAGCGGGGTGAGCCCCAGGCCCCTAGGAGGATGCTGGTGCCTGAGGCAGGTGCCTGTGGAGCGTAGAGGATGTCAGTCCTGTCCTAGTGCACCAGGCCCTGGGGAGCAGGACCTCCACAGGGCCTGGGTGGGGCTTGGGTGTGGGTCGGGATGCACCTTGCCGTGCTGACCACGGCGTGGATTCGTGGAGTTCATGAGGCCAAGGGACTGCTCTCTCCTCTGCTGTCCCCCACTGCTGCCTCACTTCTGTCATCCATGGCGGGAGAGGGGCCCTTGCAGGACCCCTTCCTGCTTCTCCTTTGTGCTGAAGTTGCATTGTGAAGTCAGTGGTGTCCATGGGAGGCTGTGAGATACAGCCGGCAGGCAGCTCACGCATCCAGAAAAACCTGTTAAGAGTCAGTGGGAAATGACAAAACCATGTTTTGAGTGGAAGACTTGCCTCTCTAGACCTCCTGGTGATGCAGACTGAAGATCCCAAGGACAGAGACCGCCTGGAAAACACCACGAACCCTTCCTTGTCTTGCTGCACAGACGCCCCCAGGGGCTGTGGAACATTGTCGGGACCTTGCTGGGTCGGGACTAGTGATGTGGGGTGGGGCTCCCCACCATCAGAGCCTCCAGGCCCCAGGCACTGACTAGGCCTGTGGTCCCACTTAGCAGAGAGGAACGGCTACGTCCACGCCAAGCCTGGTGGAGAGTGAGGTCGGTTGGTGCAGGAGGTGGGATCTGCCTCTGTGTGTGGATTGGTTTATGGTTTCACCTGCAGACTAATCCCTGCAATGTGAGACCTTGTGTAACCCAGCAGGGTGGTAGTCCCAGATGAGCAGGCCTTGGCCAGGCTGCAGCAGCCCAGAGGAGGGAAGGTGCAGGGGTGGTCTTAGGCCCAGGGGGCTGGGGGTGTTGGAGAAGCTGCCCCCAGCAAAAGGGACAACAGGGCCGCAGTGTCCTGCCAGAGAGTTTCTAGAGGCAGAAGGACATGCCACCAGGGAGTTTGGGACCCAGGGTGCTGACAGCAGTAGACCAGAGCCCCTTTCTGGCCACTGTGCTGGACTCTTGGGGTCCTGCCTAGCTGCCCCTGGCCATGTGACCCCAGTGGTCTTGCCCTTGTCCTGGGTCCCTCGCATTGCTGCCCACCTGGGCCCCTGAGGCCAGGTGGCTGTGCCACCCGCAGGGCTCTGGCCCTGAGGGATTGGCCTCGGCTTGGGGTTGGGGCCATCGTGGAGGGTCCTCCTCCCTGGGGCGCCCTGTCCATCACTCTGCTCTGGGGCCACAGCCCAAGCAGCTCGAAGGTAGCCATAGCATCTTCCTGGGTGAGGCCCCAAGACAGTAGTTCCTGGTGACTTGGAGCCAGGGCCTGTGTCACATGCCTGACGTCACCTCTGCCCACTCCCACCCATCACCTAGGTCCTTGGTGCAGGAGTCCCACGAAGGCTCAGGGGACACAGCCCTGCTGCCTCACTCATGGATGCCCTGCCCTGCCCCGCCCCTCAGTTCCACTTGTCCTGCGTGAGAAGTTTTTGGAAGAGCACAGGGGAGGTGGATCCTCCAGGTGTGCCCGGCTGTGGCCCAGCTGTGGGTTGGCCTGATTGGTGCCTGTGGGCACATGAGCCCTCCACCTCTTGCTCCTCACCTGCTGCGTCTACTGGGCTAGGCACTCATCCCCACCAGCCCTGTCCACCTGGGTGTCCCTGTCCCCACCGGCCCTGTCCAGCAGGTGTGCAGATGGGTTGGGTGGGATGGCCACCTAGGAGTCGCGTAGTGCCCCCTCTGCTTATGGGCAGAGTGTGGGTGCCCAGAACCATCTTCAGGTTCTGTGGCCTTGGGCCCCTGGGGGTGGTGGGGTGATGGGACGCAGGGCCCCAAAGACTGCCAGGGTGATAGGCAGTGGGTGAAGCCCATTCAGCCTGGCCAGGAGAGCAGATACCTAGGGTAGGTACTATGTGGAGTGCAGGCCGGATCCCTGGTGGAGGGTGGGTGGCATGGGATCCTCCTCCCCCTGACTCCACCTGGCTTGGGTCCACTACAAGATCCTGGCCTGAGGTGCCTCTGCTGCGGGTCCTGCCAGCCTGGCCTGCAGCCACTCTGTTCCTACTTAAGGATGAGAAGCTCCTCTGTACCCTAGGCCTCACATCTGACACCCAGAAGCCAAGAACTGGCCTCTGTTCTTCTCTGGTCCATTGCCTGGCACGGTGCTGGGTTTGCAGCCTGGAAATGTTACCTGGGGATGGGGACTCCTGGGCCCTGCTGGTGCTCTCCTTTCTGCCCACCTGGTCTGGCTTCAGTGCATTCCTCACCACAGTGCCCAGGCTGTGTGCCTGGCACCCAGGCCTGGCTGCCCCGACAAGAGCAGAGCTTGCACATGTGGACCATCCTGCATGCTGAGCGGCTGGGGCCTTCAAGGCCGGTTGGAAGTCCTAGTGTCCTTGGTGGGCAGGGACACGTGCATCTGTCCCCACAAACACTGCATATTTTGGTGTCCAAGTCGCCCTCTTCTCTGGCTGCTCCTCCTTGGGGTGGGGCTGGAGCTTGCAGATCCTCTGAATCCTGTACCAGGTCATGCCGCTGCCTCCCTCCAGCCGGCAGGGGTCCTGTCTCTGAGCTTCACTGTCTCTGGGCTGCCTGACGCCGGGACACCCTTCCACACCACAAGGTGCCCTCCTGTCTGTCCCCAGCAGCATAGAGTGCTGGCCCACTGCTGCACAGGTTCCGCGTGTTGCTCAGAATCCAGGAACTGAAACCCCAGCTTGGGAAGGAGGCACTGAGAGTGCACGCCCGTCTGGACCATACCCTGGTGGAGGTGTCCGGGTTCTTAGGGGACACGTGGGGGACACCTCTTTCTGGCTGAGCCTGTGCCAGGCAGGAGGAGCAGGCAGGCGCCCTCTAGGGGGAGCACGTCCCATGCCTCCCCTCCCTGCACGGTGCAATGTTGGGGCACAGGGAGCAGCCCAGCAGAACCATCGCTGCCCCCCCATCACCACCATGCCTGCCCCATGTTCTGACCGGCTCTTGGGGCTCAGACGGCGAGGAGTCTGCGGTGGTGAGGGGTGAGGGGAAGGTCCAGGTCTCCCTGGCAGCCAGACACCGTGAGGGACAGGAGCGGCAGTTCGAGGGCTGGCCCCTGAGTGGGAAGGGCTGTGGAGCTCCCAGCTGCCCAGCCCAGGGTACCTGCTGGCAGTGGGCGGTGGGTGGCCACAGCCCACCCCTGTGGGTGATAGGCAGGCTGCCGGCAGGCTTGGACTCCTCTGGAATGGGGGTGCGGTGGCATCAACTGACAGGCTCTCCCCAGAAGGGCCCCTGGCTGGCTGTGCATGCCTGGGGAGGGCCCAAGGATAGCATTGGCCCAGCTATGTGGGGTGCAGTCATCAGGTAGAGACACCCGGGCTGGCCAGGGAGGCAGGGTGCTGCCTGTGGCTCTGTGGGGCGTTGGTCTTGTCTTACTGATTTGCAAGAAACTCAACCATATGGACACAACTGTCCGGGTCAGCCATGGCAGACATTTCTGTGGGGTCTTGTTTGTCTCAGAATTCTATTATTCCTAAGGAAAGAAATGAACTTTCATGTAATAAAATCTACAAATAAATATTTGTATTTATTTCTTACTTCAGTGTCCTTTCTGAGAAGTCCTTTTGCTGCACAGATTTTCACCTGGTATAAGGCAGACTTTTTAAGAAGAGAGGTCTGGATTTGGCCCTGTCCCTTCCTCTTCTGTCCAGGAACCTGTCAGATGTGCCAGCTGAGTGCAGGCCACGGTGCACAGAGAGGAGGACCCTGAGATTCCCCTTGGCTGTGGGGCCAGAAGTCCTTGCTGGCCCTTCTGGGCCCACCAGGCCGTGTCCCGTGGATGGATCCAAGGGCGGGTGGCTGACATGGGGCTGGTCCTTCTGGATGCCCAGCCTGGCTGCCGGGTCCGCCTGGGGATGGAGGAGGAGAGGCCCAGTGAGGAGGCCGGCCTCCTGCTCCAGCCCAGGAAGAGGCCCAGCTCTTCTGAGAATGGAACAGTTAAGTCCTTCAACTGAGGTGAGGGTGAGGGTGTGGCTCACGCCTGACCCAGCAGGTGAGCTTCTGGGGATTTAAGCTCACGCTTGGCCATAGTGGCCACACCCCACCTGACGCCTGTGCCAGGCGCCCGCACCCTTCCGCCGTCAGCTGAGAGCTGAGGGAACCTGGGCAGTGGGACCTGGGGCCTCAGACCTGGGCAGCTGGCAGCATTCCCGGCATCCCACGGCAGCATGCTGTCCCTGGTGGGCGGCTCTCAGAGGTGAGGCAGGGGTGCAGGGTGGCACAATGGACCAAGGTGCTTTGCTCCATGGGAGTCCTGAGCGCCAGGAAAGGAGGCTTTGTCTCAAAAAGGAAGTCTGCTTGGCTTTGGGGATTTTACCGCTAAGGCGTCTCTGAATTTGGCCTCTTTGGGTTTCATTTCAGACAGCAGAGAAGTCCCTCCCTGTCCTTCCCAGGCTCGGGCTGGTCGTGGGTGCCTGGGGCCTGGGGACCCAAGGGATTGGGGTGGGGTACCAGGGCTAGGTCTGCGCTTCGAGGACAGTCCGGGGCCAGAGTCCCTCACACTTCTGTGCATTTTAGGGTGCTCAGGAGGAGGGGATGGGGCCTGGTGGCCTTGGAGGGTGGGGTGCCTGTCCTCACCTCCAGGGGTGACTGATGGTGTGCCCCTCACCAAGGAGCAAGGAAAGTTGGGTTTTCCTTCTGTCTAGGCCCGAAGGAGGCAGGCGTGGTCTTTAGACACCTTGCAGTCCACTCCCATGGCTTGCTGTGGTGCTTTTGGGGTTCCTGCAGGCTGGAGCCTCCAGCGCTGTGGCCAGTTTTGCAGATGTGGCTGTGGAGGCCTGTTGCCTGGTGCCACCTGGTGGGATCCCTGGGTCCCCTCCAGCTCAGGGCCTCCGGTGCCCTCCATACCCAGGAGGCCGCTGCTGTATCCTGTTTTCACCTTGGCAGTAGCTGTGGCAGTGGGCAGCTGGTCCTCCTACAGCCAGGGGCCCCTGGTACCCACGACCAGCTCAAGCCTGGGGAGGACAGGGAGAGCTTTCTCTGCTGCCTGAAATGAAACCAAAAAAGTCCTGGCTCTTCCCGAAACCTGCCTTCCTGGAGTGTTGAGCCCTGGGGAGTTTCGCCAGGGCGCAGAGCTGTGTTGCCCTGCGATGGGCTATGTGGCTCCAGTCCTGGGGTTGGTGGACTGTGGATGCCTGGCCGGCTTGCCAGTGACCATGCTGGTGGCCAGGTCTGAGTGGGATAGGGCCTAGAAAAGCCCTGGCGGAGGGCAGAGGCCGCCTTCCTGCCTGGGGATGAGCCCCACACTGAGAGGTCAGCGTCTCCCAGACAGGTCAGGTCCCCATCCGCTGCTGTGCCTGGGTGGGCCTGGGTGGGCCTGGGTGTGCCGGGTGGGTGGTAGTGGCTGTGGCTGTAGGAGTCACCACGTGTCCCTGGAAAAGCCTGGCTTGTGTCTGAATCAGGTCCTGGAGCCTGGTAACCTGTCCCCAAGTGGGTGGTGTGCTGGCATGTCCTAGGACATCACCCCAACCAGTCAGTAGCCTGTGTCCAGAGCTAGGTGACCCCTACCTTAGGGTGTAGCCAGGTAGTGGTGGGGAAAGGTGTGGTGCAGAGCCCATGGCGGGGGCCACACTGCTCAGGAGGTGCCTGGAGATAGCACCCCTCAATTTCCCCATCCCTTAGTGGCTAAGCCACTGTTGAAAGAAACATCCAGAAAGCAGTGCTCAGACAGAACATTCCAGCTGTCCATGGAGCCACCAGCCCCCCTGGCCCTGCCAGATCTGGGTGTGACTCAGGCAGCCCCTGAGGCAGGGATGTCCATCTCTCCTTGGTCACTGGCCAGTGGTGCAGGCTCTGGGTCCTGGGTGGCCCTAGGGGTGGCCTTGGGTGGGTCCCCTGGGTGTCCATGTGTGGAGGTTTGAACTGCCTGCTACTCTGTTTCAGTGACCACTGTGGCCAGGGATGCAGGGGTGGCCATCTCTCCCTCGGAGCTCGGGCCAGGACCCGTGCCAGGCAGGGCGTCCACTGTAACTGGGGAGACAGAGAGTGAGCACCCTATGGCATGGGGGCCCTTGCCTGTGAGCACCAGGGCTCCTACTCCTACTGTGCCTCCTGGCCTTCCAGGCTGTGAGAAGCTCCAGGGTGGGCAGGGTTGTAGGTCCTGGGCAAGCATCCTCATCCCCTGCACTGGCTGCTCACTGGGAGGAAGGGACTGCAGGGTGTGGTGGTCACTGCAGCCACCCCTCAAACCCCACAGGCAGACAGAGCTCAGTGCACCTCATAAGTCATTATGGACAGGCTCCACACCCTGGAGGGAGGCCCAGACCAGAATGGGTGGGGGGCTGGAGAGGGTGTCAGGTCCCCCTCTTCTGGCCGGGAGGGCTGGGCCTTCTCTGACAGAGGCAACACAAATTTAACATTTTAAAATAAATGGTAATTCCCCCTCCAGGCAGAAATGGGTAATGGCCTGGGGTTGTCTGGGCTGCGCCCACGCAGAGACACTCAGGAGGCCTGGTGGGTAGGTCCACGGCACCCACGCTACCAAGAAGGGCAGCCACAGAGCCCAGGTAGGAGGCTGGACAGCACCCCCTACTTGAGTTCATCCTGGGTCCCAGGAGACTGGAAGGCCCCCTGCGCTGGCTCGCTGGCCTGACCACGGAGAATAAATGTCTGCTATCTTTACAGCAGGAAGTGGCTTGTACTAGGAGCCAGCCAGGTGTCAGCCGACAGCCCTCCTGGCTACGGTTCAGAGAGAGTCGGGAGGGCGGCAGCAAGCTCATTAAACGTTCAAGAGGTTCTTCTTTGTCTGAAGGGTGGATTCACAGTCACGACGTGTTTGTCTATGTTCTAAGGGGAGCATTCCTTTCCCTTTTTACACCTGGGAATTGGTATTTAGTTTTAAAAATTTAAACTGTGTGTTTGTCCTTCCGTAGATGAGCGCAAGCCAGGCTGACTGGGGTAGTGTGCTGGGCTCTGGGTTGTGGTTTCCGTGTGCCCTCCTCAGGCAGGGAGCAGGTGTGCAGGGCAGTATGTGTGTGTGTTGGAGTCGGGTCCAGTGGCCGGCTGGGCACATCCTTGCCTCTGCTCTGGGAGACCCTGGGCCCGACGTGGGGTCTCCGGGTTGCTTCTGGCGGGACTGGCTCTTGGGGGACCATCAGACAGATGGCCAGTGTGTGCCAGGTTTAATGAACCCGAGCTGGGTGGTAACAGTGTTTGTGTTTGAGGAAGGGCTTTATGTGGAACAAAGCGAGGGCCAAGTGACAGGTAAGCCCCACAGGGCTCTTATCAGGCGGGTTAAACCCTAACTATACGGGGCTGTAAAATGTCCTATCCCTCTCAGGCACACGCTCTGCAGCCACCCTTCCTAGGAGCTACTGTCCCACAGCCATGGCCCTCAGTGACTTGGTACTCGACTCCGGGTAGCTCTGTGGGGATGGAAAGGACCTGTCCCCTCTCACGCATCCCCGCAAGGACCCCAAATGTCACCGCTGGCCACTTGCTCTTCTCCACCCGTCCCTGCCTGCCCCGGACCTGAGCGTCCCCAGAGTTTCTGTCCACTGCAATGGTGATGCCCACAAAGGCCCCTTGGCCCACCTGGCCCCTGGAACCTCCTCCACCCTGCTCTGAGCTCTGTGTCTGGAAGACTTAGGAGGACTGTGGGGGTGAGGTCAGGCCTGCGGAATGGACGTGTGGCTAGGGGGCTCTGGCAGGGTGGGATGGGGCGCTGCATTAGGGATCTGACGCACGCACTTGTGCAGCCTCCTTGCCCTACTGTCTCCTGCGTCTCTGCGACCCACACTCTTGGTATGGAAGACAGGAGACCAGATGGAACAGGGGGCAGCTGGTAGAGCTGGCCTCCACCCATGCACATGAGTGTGGCCTGTGGGCAATTCTCTCCCATGCAAAGCCCTGCTCTGGCCCCTGAGAAGGCCCAGGAGCACCCCAAAACCCAGACCACAGCCCCTAAAGAGCAAGGGCCTGGCACTGCTTGGAGCCATGGCTGGTTCCTGGCCTGGCCAGGCAGCACCCAAGATGAGCCTGGTGCCTTCTGGTCAGCAAGGGCCTAAGAGCAGAGCAGGACATGTGCTTGGCCTGCCTCATTCCTGTGGTCCTGAAGGGCCCGACAGCAAGGAGTGCAGAGGAGGCTGGTGCCTTGGCAGTGATGTGACTCTTCTAGAAACAGCTTCCTAGGGAGAACACTAAGGCTTGGTGAGGGCATCTGGAAATGCAGCTCGAATAAATATTTTATTTGCCAATACAATAAGACTGGCAAATCTTAAAACATGCCAGACAATATGAAGCGCAATTAGCAAACTCATGAGAGCTCTGACACCTCAGACTGCGCTTCAAAGGGCAGTGACATCTTGCTTCTCCAAGTCACAACAACCTCATGTCCCTGGCAGGCAATGCTTGGGTGTCTGGCGTCCCAGGGAGAGACCCTCCGCAGGACGTCAGGCTGTTCTGATCGAGTCCCGCCCGCAGACACCAGGCCCTCCCGGTGACTTCTCTGCCTCCCTCCTGAGAGACACTCACATGCTTCTCCTGTTTATTCCATCAGGCCACAGGGGTCATCACATGGCCAGCAACTGTGTGCCCGCAGGGTAGAGCATGGCTCTGGCCGCAGCCACATCCTTGTGATCTATGGGTGCTGATTCAGAGGAATGCACGGTCACTCAGTGAAGATGGAGACAACGGCTGCCCACACAGACCTAGTCACTCTTAGGATGAATCCTTGGGGTGAACTTGGTGGGTGATCCCAGTGTAGCCTGGCACACGCAGCACTATCCAGAGGCGTGGCAGCCCCTGTGCCTGGAGGTGGGAACCCTTGCCATGCTGGGACCACTGGCCAGGGGCCTGCCCCTCTGGAGATCATCGTGCCTGCCTTCTTCCTGCTGTTTCTAGCTGGAGGACCAGTGCTGGCCACTTGTCTCCAGCCCCTGCTATCCCCTGATTTTCGTCTGGGTACCACATCCCTGCAGTGTTAGTGGTGGCTCTGTCTGTTCTGCCACCTGGGAGACCCCTGCTATGTTCTTTCTGCGTGCAGTCTTCCCAGATGTTGCTGTAGGTTTTTCTTGGCACCAATTGTCCCTCAGTTGCCTGGGCCTGTGGGGCAGCTGCCTGCTGCATAGCAGCCCTGGGTGCGCTCTAGGGGAGGCCACCTTCCCCTTTTCCCTCCCTCATCTCCTCCAAACAAGGGGCACTTGGGACCTTCTGCAGGGTCCCCACAAAGGGCCCAGGGCCAACTCTCATGTGGCCAGGAGATGGGTGGTGGGGTGGGAAGTTCCAGTGGAAAGGTGGTCAGGCCCAGAACTATTGGCAAGGGCCACTGTGACACCTGGGTGTGTCTGGGACAGTCGATGATAGTGTCTGCCCTGGACACAGGACTGCTGCTGGGCATGTTCTCAGGTCACAGCGTCTCTGGGCTCAGAATCTAAGGTTCGTGGTGCTGTCCACAAAGGTAGGGTGGATGCCAGGTCTGCATGGTGTCTCCTCTTGCTGAGCTGCTCATGTAATCTGCTGTCTATCCACATCAGGGGTGGGCAGGGTGCACGTGGGTAAGCATCCCGGGAGGTGTGCGGCCCCTCCCAGTGGCTCTCTGTCCTACCAGGGCCCACTGGGGAGGGCAAAGCCATGCCTCCTCGGCTTGCTCCTGTATTCGGGAGTGAGAGGAACCAGGGAGATGCGCTGGGGCCTTAGGGAGCAGGCAGTGCTCAGCATGGCACGCTTCCCAGGTCTGCTGCTGGGATACCGCCACTGAAAATGCCAAGAAGGGAGCACCGGCCTTCTTGCCCATGGCCAGGACTGCCCAGGAAGCCGAAAGATAATGAAACCAAGCTTGCAGCCTGAGGGGTGACCTCCCAACAGCTCCCTGGGTCAGACCGGGCTGGGTCAGACCCAAGGCCGTGTCCTACTGGCTCACAGGCTCTGCTCCAGCGGGTTGGTCTGAGTCCTGAGTCACACCCACGTGGGCAGCTGCCTGTGGCCTGGTGTCAGGGCCCAGCAAGGCTGGCCCTGCAGGCAGTACCTAGCTCTGAGGGATCTGGGCCATGATCCACACCAGGACTGGGAGGAAACCTGCTTTCCCCCAGGGACGTTCCTCTCTGATGGGGATCCCATGGGGCCAGGCCTCACTGTGGCCTGGACCTGCACAGGCCACTACGCCACTTTGGTTGTGGGACTGTGCCCTGGCCAAGCACATATGAGTGGAGGTTTGCTAGAGCCTTCTAGAAAGGTGTCTGGCTCCTGTTGTGGTTGGCTGTGTTCTTATTCTCTTTTCGATGATCTAACGATGGATGTGATGTTGGAGCTTGGCAGCCATCTTCTGACCATGAAAGCAACATGTTGGAGTGGGGAAAATGCCAATATCCTGGGGTGAGGGGCTGGCAGAAGGCAGGACCAGTGGAGTGGGTAGAAAGTGGGGCCAGAGCAATGGGAAGCTGAGGGAAGGAAAGGGGGCAGGTTGGGGGGACAGACCGGGAGCTCCAGTCATTACTTTGTGACTGAGGCCGCTCGGAAGCCTCAGTGGAGATCTGGGGCCTAGCAAGCCTGGAGAGATGAATTTGGGTTGACCCCAGGGCGCTGAGACTGGCTAGGGCTTTCTCTCCCTTTCCCAGGTCCCATCCCTAAAAGTGCAGGTGACCATAAACCACCCAGGTGCATGTGGGACCGGGTAGGGGAGGGACAGGGAGGCCACTCACGGCCCGTCCACTGCTCCTGGAATCTTCTGTGCAGCTTCTGCCCAAACTCAAGCCCCGTGCATCAGGAATGTGCAGGCTCCATCTTGGGCTTGGTCCTGGTCAGCAAGGTGGGGGTCCCCTGCCCCCCTTACTGCTCCTGCTCTCCCATCCTGGTTGGATGCCAGTCAGTCAGCCAGACACCAGCAGGGTTAGGTTTAGGGCCAGGGTTAACCCTGAAGAATGTGGCTAGGCTTTGCAGGGCCATTTCTTGGGTGCTTTCTCCCTGGCAGGCATATGGCACTGTGTCCTTTCAGGGAAGAGGTGGAGTGAGAGAAGACACAAACCGTGTGTCCCTTAGCAGGGTGCTAATTCATCACTGAGTTCCACACTGTGGCTTCCTCCAGCCCTCGTCACTGCCCAGGGCCACCCCCAGATGCCACCCACTGGTTGGTGCCCTACGGTGGGTTTTGGGCATGCAGTGCAGTTGTGGCATCCAAGGCCTTCGAGCTCATCCCTGGCCTATATCTCTGCCTATCCACCTGGCCCTTCTTCCCTGTGCTCCTAGTCCTGGGCAGAGTGGGCAGAGCCTGCACCCAGTGTGCGACAGTGTACAGGGACAGGGCCTGTACGAGGGAGGGCTGTGTGGGGCTGTGCAGCAGTGAGGTCTACCCACAGGTCGCTCCGGACCGTCTTCCTTCTGGCGTTGGTTGTGCTCCTGCTGGTTGGCCTCCTGCATGTGCATGTGGAGCTGTTCCTGCCGTGAGTCCTGTGTTGTGTCCCTGTGGCCCAGGAGGGTTCTCCACCTCAGCAACCCCGAGGGCAGAGCCGGGGACCTCAACCTGCCCACCCCGGGGCACCAACACCTGCTGGAAGCCCGTGGTGGGACACATGTTCCCACTGAACTTCCCTTTCCCCTCCTGGAGAGGCCAGGAGGCCTTCCTGTGGGGATTTGTTAGTGTCCAGGGCCTCCTGAAGTGGCCTGGCCCCCAGGGTGGGGTCTGGGAAGGTGAAGGTCAGACCTGTGCCCCTCACTGCCAGTGTCCCCCTCCAGTAATCTTCCCCAGCTGGTGGCACAACTTCTGGCAAGAGGCCCTGACTCTGCATGGGTCTCTGCCCACCCCCTGGTTCCCAGGCCAGTGCAGGGCTCTGGATTCTGCCCTCTGGGCACTGGGGCAGGGAGGGCCTAGCACCTGGCCACTCTGGCCCTCACTTCAGGGGCCTTCTTCATCCCAGGGTGAAGGGTTGGGGTCAGCCAGGAATGACGGATGCGTGGCTGAGGTCACTGGGCCAGTGCCACACAGGTGCCCTGAAAGCCGGAAAGCAAGCTGCAAGTCCAGTCCGAGGGGGACTTGAGTTGGGGCTGAGCGTGCAGCCCATGTGGGAACTCGTCTGTCCCAGTGGGTCCCCTGGGCTGCAGACAGGGGCCACAGTGACAGGGCTGGGGTGGGGCACTGAGGTTGGGGGCCTGGACAGGAGGGCTGGGGGTCTGGGTGGGGTTCTGTGGGAGTGTACCGCCAGGCTGAGGCTTCCTGGGTCCTCCCTCCCAGCCAGATCAGGGCTGAGGTGGAGGGGCCACCGGTCACCAACATCATGTTCCTCAAGACACACAAGACGGCCAGCAGCACGGTGCTCAACATCCTCTACCGCTTTGCTGAGATGCACAACCTGTCCGTGGCGCTGCCCCAGGGCCCTGACTTCCACCTGGGCTTCCCCTGGCTCTTTGTGGCACGCTACGTGGAGGGTGCCCTGCAGGCTGGCCCTCACCCCAGGCCTCCCCGACAATTCAACATCATGTGCAATCATCTGCGGTTCAACCTTCCTGAGGTGGGGTTCTGAGGCTGGGGAAGGCAGGGACTACGGGTTCTGGGTGGCGGAGTCCAGGAAATGGAGCAGGGTTCTAAGCTCCAGGCTGCCAGGGCCCTGCGGTTGCTCTTGGAATGAGACCCAGCAGGCCGCCGTCCTCTGCCTGGCACTTGCAGCCCCCTCTGGCTCCGGAGCCTGCATCTCTCTCTGCTCTGGACCTTGGTGCTCGGCCCCAAGAAGTCCCTGCAGGTCATCTGGGTCTCCGCTGAGGGAACAGCTCCTCCCAGGGCTCCCCGATTTTCCTTCCAAAGGGAATTGTGTGTGGGGGTGAAGAAAGGCGTGGCCTAGCACAGCCGCAGCCCAGAACACGGGCCTTCTGGGTGGTGGGCAGCACGGTGGCCTGGACTGGCGAGGGCCGGATCGGCAGAGGCGATGGCGGGAGGGCGGCGCATGGCTGTGCTGTGCTGCGCTGCGCTGCAGAGGGGACAGACAGCCCAGCCGTCTCCCGGACAGTCGCTCCAGTGGGTGACACGAGGACCCCAAGGGGCACAGGACAGAGGGCGAGCCCACACCCGCCCCACACAGGTTGCGGGCTCACCAGCCTCCCTGCGGCCGTGTGGCTGGCTGGCTGGTGGCCCCGGGCACAGGGCGCGGGGAGAGCGGGCTCTGTTCCCGGCCCGTCACCTCCGCGAGCCCGCAGCACCCCTCTGTCCCCGCAGGTGCAGAAGGTCATGCCCAAGGACACCTTCTACTTCTCCATCCTGCGGCACCCGGTCGCCCACCTTGAGTCCTCCTTCACCTACTTCAAGGACGCGGCACCCGCCTTCCGCGCTGCGCGCAGCCTGGACGCCTTTCTGGAGACGCCACACCGCTTCTACAACGCCAGCGCAGGCCTGCGCAACGCGTACGCGCGCAACGGCATGTGGTTCGACCTGGGCTTCGACAGCGACGCGCCGGCCGAGGACGTCTACGTGCGCGCGCGCCTGGCCGAGGTGGAGCGGCGCTTCCAGCTGGTGCTCATCGCGGAGCACTTCGATGAGTCCATGGTGCTGCTGCGGCGCCGCCTGCGCTGGAGGCTGGACGACGTCGTCGCCTTCCGGTTGAACGCACGCGGCCAGCGCAGCGTGGCACGCCTGTCGCCCCCCGCCCAGGAGCGGGCGCTGCGCTGGAGCGCGCTGGACTGGCGCCTGTACCTGCACTTCAACCGCACCTTTTGGGCGCGCGTGCACGCTGAGCTGGGCCCGCGTCGCCTGAGCGCCGAGGTAGAGAGGCTGCGCGCGCGGCGCCGGGAGCTCCAGGCCCTGTGTCTGCCGCCCGGGGCGCTCCGCAGCGGGGCGAGCATCGCAGACCCGCAGCTGCGCCCCTACCAGTCCGGTGCCGCCGACATCCTGGGCTACGTCCTGCGGCCGGGCCTGGACAACGCCACGCTGCGCCTGTGCCAGAGGATGGTGACGCCGGAGGTCCAGTACATGGCCCGCCTGTACTCGCTGCAGTTCCCCGAGAAGCCCCCCAAAAAGATACCTTTCCTGGAGCACTAGGGCCCGCAGGCGCCGCCCCTCTCCAGCCTTCCCTAGAGACCCAGGCCACAGACCACAGACCACCACAGCAAGACGGAGAGCTGCAGACCCCCAGGCCGACCCACCCGGGACGCAGCCCACAAGGCCGGAGGGGGGAGTCCTCCCAGGCGACCCCCCTCCCCCGTCCCCAGAACAAAGAACACGAACCCAGGGAGAGTAGGCTGTGATCCCAAAGGACCTCAGCGGCTCCCTGAACCTGCCCTCCCCAGGACCTGGCACTGGTCCCTGGGGACATGCCTGTGACCTCCGTCGGAGCTGGGCCTGGGGCTGAGAACCGCTCAGATTGAGAGCTGTTCCCACGACAAAGGGTTCAGCCTGAACCCAGGTCGAGCGAGCTCCACGTTTACATCTAGCACTGCTCGCAGGAAGCCTCACGACCCGGGAGAGCTGGGAATGGTCTGTCCGACCTTGGAAGTCTGGAGACTGTGCTGGATGGGTGGCCCTCTTCCTTTGTCGTTCACGAGGAGAACCTGAGGCCCCTGTGTAGTAGGGTGTGGTCCCTGGCTGCCAGGGCCCAATGGGTAGAGTGGGGGTCACGAACCTGTCAGCACATGCCCTGGGAAAAGTGGGAAACGTAGGCACTCACATGGATAGCCCAGAGGCTCAGCCAGAGCCCGCTTGTGTGGGGGGCTCCTGCTGTGTCACCCAGCCCCTCAGCCCCAAGGTCCTGCATCTCCTGGCACCTGCTTCGGGATGTGTCCAGGCATTTCACAGAAAGGGGAGATGGCCCAGCAATCAGAACAGGGAGCTCCCAGGGACACTTCACGAAGGACGTTTCCAGTAAGATTAGAGGTATTATGGTGAATTTGAGAATAAAAAAGAATATTTGGAAATTGATCCAATGACTTCCAAACAAACCTGACTAGAGATAGTGAAGGGGGTGTTGCTTGCTAAGAGCCGGCGTCATCAGACTGTGTAGGGTCACCCAGCTCAGGCCAAAGGAAGATGAGGTGGAAATCCCTGTGAAAAGTGGCAGCAGAAGTCATATCTGAGACGAGCCCATGTGCAAATAGTGGGAGTCCTTGCAAAAGGAAAAAGTGAGGGAGAAGAATCTCGGGCAAACCGAGAATGGGAAGAATTGCCACCCATTGAGGAAATACTGGAGCTTTTAGCACAAGTTCCCACTGGAGCACCAGGTGGGGTCTACAGCTGCCTCAGAGAGTGTGGGCAGGTGTGGGAATCCAGGAGAGGGAAGAATACTGCGGCCTGGAAACAGCAGGTGCCCACCGTGCCTGCAGCCCTGCCCACGCCCAGTCGCTGTGCACCACTAGTCTCGCCCGCACAGCGATTATGCAGTTGAGGTCACAAGAGCAATTTAATGTCACTTTGTTTTTGCCTTCCAGGGTAGTGGGGTTTAAACTGTTACCATCATTCTGCAGGGAAATTTGGGAGTATTTACTACAATGTAAAAATGCTCGTGGTTTGTGATAGAGGATTCTGGAAACCATCTGTTTAAATTGTCCATTAAACAGGAGTGTTGGAAATACTGCTGTACTGTGGAGCCAATAAAAGCTGAGAACATAGGGTGTGGCTCAGACTCCTTTTAGGGGGCATTTTCAGCTCTCCTCTGGGATGGTGGTGGGCTCAGTGCAAGCCCGAGGAACAGCACCTGTGAGGTTCGTTGAACTCAGGACTGGACTGTGGGCAGGAAAGTGTCCCTTCTCAGGGATTTACACCAGGGGCTGAATCCTCAGGTGAGCCCGGGCCCCTGACATGGCCATGGGCTGTGGGGCAACTGGCTGGGGTGGGTTGGGGCTGGAGCAGGATGGTGAGGGCATAGTGGCCGGGGGGTGGGGTGGGGGGGTGGAGGCAGCCGGAGAGACAAGTCTCCTGACTTGAAAGAGGAGCTGGAAGTATAGATTCTTATGTGAAATCTCCAAGTTGAAAACAGCTGGCACTGCGTCAGACATTTTTCAGGGCTGTGAGTTGAGGAGGATGTTGATCGGCATTCAGGCATCCGTGCATGAGCACCCTTCCTTCAGAAGCCCCTGCTTTAGTCGCTTATGTCAGGGCTGGCAGGAGCGACTCCATCTTGATCCCGACAGCTTTCCTATTTCCCCCTTTCCATTGAGCCCATTCTGAGAACATTGCTGATAACCCACCTTGTAGTTAGGTTTGATTGTCCCTTATTGCAAGGATGGACCTGTCTCTGTTGTTGGCTTCCTGCTTTTACTTTGGAGCAAATGATTGGCTGTAAGGAATCAGTGTCAAAACCCTTTCAGCCACATTTGAGCAACAAGCATGTTGGGAAAGAGTGATTCTCAGGCTGTTTGCCTGGAGTCTTTTGTTAAATCTGCTGTTCATTCTGTCTGCTCTGTAGGTGACTGTATCATCTCCAAGTGCTGGGCTGGCATTATTTTGTTAAGAGTTGTGTCTCTGTGTAAATCTGATAGGCAACTGGTACAGGGTTTAAAAAGAGAAACAAAACCAACAAGACCAAAACAGGTCCAGTTTGCATAATAGTTTTGAACCAAGAACCTAGGCTTAAACTGACTGAATAAATCAAATGACCAAGAGGAAGTAGGTGACAACTGGTGTCATCATTGGGCCTGTCCTTTAGACAGTTGAGTCTCAGTTTCCTCAGAGGGATTTATTCAGATGCAGCATGTATACTAGCAATGGCATAGACATTTTCTTATTTAACCAATAAATAATCTAGAGTGTGTGTGTGTCTGTGTGTGTGTGTCTGTCTCTGTGTGTGTGTCTGTGTGTGTGTCTGTGTGTCTCTGTGTGTGTGTGTGTGTGTGTGTGTGTGTGTGTGTGTGTGGTGCTTGGGCCGGACCCCAGGGTCTTGCACAAGCTAAGGAAGTGCTCTACCACGGCACTATAAACCTATCCCTTTTTGTTTTATTGTTTTATTTTAAAACAAGGTCTTGCTAGGTTGCATAGACTGGCTTCAAATTTGTAATCATCCTGTCTCAGCCTCCTGAGTAGCTGGGATTACAGACATGTACCACCATGCCCAGCTATGAAATACAGAACAACTACTTTGTTCTTTTTATTATGGTGTTGGACTTCACAGGTGTTAGGCAAGTGTTGTATTACTTAATTATGTTCTCAGCCCAGTCTAGAGTATTTTTATCATTTGAGAGCACATGACTGGGTTGAAGTAAGAGAGTGTTATAAAAAGGGCCCCTGGTTATACTTCAGACAAAAACTTGCAGTAGAGGTGTTGTTGGTCATGCAGTAGGTAGACCAAAGGATCCTGTAGGTCAGAGCCTGCCTTTGTGGCCTGTAGTGGCTATTGATTGTAAACTTTTAACTACAGCATTGTCCCTGCAGGTGGCCATCAGCAAGACAAAAGTCAAGAGAGCAAGAGTCTCATCAGGATCTGGACTCTTGTTCTGATGCCAGCTTCTCATAGGGGTTTGCAGTTTGAACATCTCCAGTCATGGCATTGGGCAGTATGGCGAACTTTCTGTGCAGCACAAGACTTGTTTCCTGCAATGTATGTCAAGTTGTGCAGCTTCTTTTATGGGCTTTAGGAAAGACAGTCACTGCTTTTAGGAATTCCATGGATTGGGGGAACCTGGAAGAATTTAGGACTCAGCCCAGTCTACAGGTAGATTATAAAAACCCTGAAAACAATGCACAGAGCCACAATCAAATGATAGCTATATTACAGTTTGTATTAGTCAGCTTTCTCATTACTGGGACCAAACACCCCATGCCTGCAACAGAAAGGAGAGGGTTTTTTTGGCACCTGGTTTCAGAGGGTTTTTAGTTCATGGTTCGAAGGCAGAAACATGGCTGAAGGGCCTGGCAGAGGGCAGCTCGGCACCCAGTGCAGCCAAGAAGCGGGCGTGGGGTGGGGTGGGGCGGGGAGTCAGGGCCGAGATCGCACCCCTCCGTGTCCCAGTGACCACTCCCAGTTCCCACATCCTCACAGCGCATTCAGCTATGAACTTGTCCGTGGATCAGCTCACTGATGAACACAGAGCCCCATGATCCGATCACCTTTTGAAAGCCCCACCTCTGAACACCTGAGGCTTTGGGGACATTTTAAATTTAAACCATAACTGCTTTTTTTATTTTTGGTACCAGGGATTGAACTCTGGACCTTGCGCTTGTGAGGCAGATGCAGCGCCACTGAGCTAAATCCCCGACCCTACTGTCACAATTTTTACCAGAGGCAATTAAAGAAAAACAGATTTACCCAAAATTTTGTTTCTGTTCATAAACTCCACATGGAGTGATGAACATGACTATGGGCATCTTCCCCAGAATCCTAGAGCAAATTCAGTTTGTGAACCAAGGCACCACTGTAGTAACTTCAGATTTAGAAACCTCATACAGGTAGCAAGCCACACCAAGGCTGACCATAGAGCTCTCCTGCAGTCTTGTGAGCTCTGGGGCCTGCCAGTGAGGCAGGGAGCTAGGATGTGGCTAAGACTAGCTGGGAAAGTAGACCTGACTTGTGAATTATGGAATCCCAGGCCAGGTGTGTGGAACTGTCCCCACATCCCTGCATGTGGTCTTCTCAAAGAGCCTGAGCAGGTTTCCAACGGGGTGACTGACACCTGATGCCAGAAGGGAGATAAAGAAAAAGATAATCACCACTGAGCCCCTGCTGTGGGGCTCCTTCACGGTACTCCACCCCCAGTGCGAGCTGCTTTTTCTACTTTTATTTGACTGAAATTTGCTTTGCAGAGCCTATTTCTTGTCCTACCTTTAATAAATGTAACACTTTGTTACCTTTTGCTCTTGTCTTGACTAATTCTTTGTTCAGGACTGAAAGAACCTAGAAACCATGTTTAAAAGGATAGTCTAGGACCCCAAAACCCAGTAACATATTTGACACAGCCAGCCAGGAAGTAAGGCTCTTGGGCATGTATTTTTTTGTTTTTTCCCTCTCTCTCTCAAATCTATGGCCAAGGAGGTGTTTTTCTTTTCCTTTCCCTCCCCTAGGAAAGCTTCAATCCCTTCTCTCCCAGGATGGGTTTTCATTCTTCATAGGGCTTGAATTCCTTTTGGTTATCAGGGAAAGGTGGGAAGGTACAGAGTGGCAGAAATGAATGGAAGCTGGGGAACTGAGGAAGCTTTCTCATGGCGCCAGGAACAGCTTCCTAGAGAGGCCCCCCATGTGGGATGGGAGGGGAGCACATGGTCGCTTTTTTCCCAGCTGGTGAGAGACCTGTAGGTTCACCTCACGTTTATCTCTCCCTTTCTTTCCCATTTTTGGTCACTCATTGCAGTAAAGAATTGCCAGAGAGCCTGTTTTTAAGTCAGCTACAGAACAGATTGCTCAGATACTATGTGTGTGACCTAGAGTATAGAATGCCTTTTTTGTCCTCATGCTTCTGGTCTCCACCATACTTTGCTCAGCTTTCTGACTCTTTTGGTAAGAATAGCTGTAGGTAACTTGATCTCCTGCTTGAGTAGCCACCTACCTATCCCAGTTTACCCCTTTTCATGCTCAAAATCTTATCTGTGTTTCCCCCTAGATGGCCTTTTATCTCTGGGTATCATTAATGAGTTGCTTTCTCAGGGCCTTGTTTCATCCCAGTCCACCTTCTCCCATGATTGGCAGCCATTTTGGCTTGTCACATGGGTCAGCCACATGGATTTGGCCATGTTTGTTGGCCATATTAGTTGGTTACTTGAATTGGTCACGTAGTTCTGCCATGTTTGTTTACCTTTTTTTTCCCCTCCAACTGGACTCGTGGTCACTAGGAAATCTCACCCTTGTAGATAGGAGCTAAGCCTTTAATTTTAGGGAACATATGGGCCTGTTCCTTCTTTTCTTTTTCATTGGGCTAGGTCCCTTCCTTGTTTCTTCTAGCAGAAATTCAGGTAATTTAGAAATATATGCCTGACAGCCTGAGCAGAACAAAGGGACAGCCAGTAAAGATCAACTCAAACTGTTATAAATATACCAAAGCAAAGCCATCTTTGTACCACTGGGCAAATGCAAGGGATATTGTTTCTCAGGTGGCTAAGGGAGTCTTCAGGTGGGGGAGTTCCATCCTGATCTTATGGAAGTTTCTAAGGGAACCGCAGGGCAGTTTCCACCCTTCTCTCTAAGGAGTCAGTGGGCCAATGTTACAGATCCCAGCAATCTTGCTATTAGGCTGTACAACAGTTTGACCTTGAAAGAGTCATGGTAGGCCATAACATATGGAGAGTGCTAAAGGGAAAAAGATAAATAAGAAGGTACTGGTGGGCCAGGGATTTAGCTCAGTGGTTACGCCACCTGCCTCAAAAGCTCAAGGTCCCGAGTTTGATTCCTGGTACCAAAAAAAGAGAAGGTACTGGTGCTGTTTGCTTTGTCAGAGATGTCTGGTAGTACAATTGAGTCTCATGGAGGACACTCTGGTGTCTCAATGGGTTTGCATTTTTCTGTAGGGGACATCCTCTGAAGGACCTCAGACCTAATCTTTTCTCTCTCTCCCCACAGGCTAGTTGGCTAGCAGCTAGTTGGCACTCCAAGGGCTCCACCCTTGTCTTTGCTATTGCAATATTGTTTGGGTCCAGTTACTAGGTCAATGATGGAGAATCTCTTAGAGACTGA